GAATAATAACTATTCGCCTCTTTTTATCAGCCGAAGCTGCTCCCAAACAACCAGAAATGAAGGCAGGCAGGCAGAACGGAGCACTGGATTGAACCGCGCGCGGGCGGCGGGGTGGGGGTGAACGGGCGCTTCGGAGGAGCTGCGGCGACAGGAAAAGCCACGCTGCCGGCTTCTTTGAAGCAGTTTCTTCCTGGGCTAGTGGAGGAGCGAGAGAGCGACTGAGAGAGGAACGAGGCAGACACCTGAGGGAGGGAGGGAGACACCTGAGGGATGGGGCTGAGGAAGGCAGGGCCGAGAGCCGTGGGCCGCTGCCGCCCAGCGCTCAGTTTTGAAGGCGCTCCTCAGCCCGGCGCAGTTGAAACCCTCCGTTTTAAATGTCCCAATAGAAGAGAATATCTGTCACTCAGGGTTGCAATGAGGAGGCATTGGCACTCCCTGAACTTGGTGGTTTGCTGGCAGACGTTTTATTACCCGACTAGGTAACAACATTAGATGTTACCTAGTCAGGTAATGAAACGTCTGCAAGCAAACCATCAAACTCGGACTCCCCCCCCCCCCCCCGGTCCTTGAAAAAGTGTTTCTGCTTGAAACTGGTTCCTGGTACAAAAAAGGTTGGGGACCACTGCTCTAGCTGTCTAGTCAAACATTTTGTGCCTAATCTAAATACTGGGATACTTTCAAAGATTATCATCAGAAGAAAAATAGCTATTTCTAAGATACTATAAGTGGTTGTACAAGAATTCATATAGTGGGAATAAGTAGTGAAATATGTAAAGTGAAAGTACTTTCTCTTTTGTAAAAGTAACCAGTTTCATACCCTCCCCCCATTATTTTATGTTTATGTTTCACATGGACCATTGTAGAATAGAATATTGCTTTCAGATGCAGTCAACCATCTTTATATTTTATTGTTTGATAAGGTGCTTCTTGAAATATCAAATTATTTCCGGTATAACACTAGAGCCGCATGCCATTTCTATACTTCTAAATTCCTGGTTTTATAGTGTGTTGATTTATAATTAATTGTATTCACTTATTTTTGTATAATCACTTATAAGATCATAGCTTCTAATTAAAGTGGAACAAGTATGGCGTCTTGGTTTGTTGAAATACTTGGTTTGTTGAAATATGATTCTGAAGAACGACTCTTCTATGAATGTCCATCAGGCATATTTGATATGGTTACAGCAGAAGTGTGGCAGGACCTATTAAAAATAAAGATAATAATTTTGAGATAAGGGCAGGGGACCAAAAAAGGAAAGTACGTGAGAGATTCTATATGAGTGATGTGGTCTTTGGAACCTAAATTTTAATAACAAAAGTATAGAATGATTCTTTTATAAAGCATTAAATATATTGTATAATGGTGCATAGTTTTAAGTATTATTGATGCTATAGCAATAGCATTTAGATTTCTATACCACTTCACTGTACTTTACAGCCTCTTTAAGTGGTTTACAGAGTCAGCATATTGTTCCCAACAATCTGGCTCCTCATTTTATCCACCTCGGAAGGAAATCTTGAGCCGGTGAGACCCAAACTGCCAAACTGCTGGCAGCTGACGGTCAGCAGAAGTAGCCTGCAATACTGCATTCAGGAGTCCCCAACCTGGTCCACAAACCAGTACCAGTCCACAGCTTGTTGGGAACCAGGCTGCGCAAGCAGCGGGCAATCGCATGAAGTTTCATTTGCACATGCATGGGAGCTAAGTTGCGTGTGTGAAACCATCACTTTCCCCAGCCACCGCTGCCAGTCCATGGACCAAGAAAGATTGGGGACCACTGTGCTATAGCATGTGGAAATGATCAATATTACTTAAAAAACTTGTGACATCATGAATGGTAATAGACTTTGATGTTTTTCAACAGTAAATTCACTTTGGCAATTGGTTAGCTACAGATTTGACCAGTCACAAATGTACTGTATAACAGGGATTCCCAACCCCCGATCCGTTGGACCAGCACCAGTCCGTGGCATGTCAGAAACCAAGCTGCGCAAACAAGCAAAGCCCCATCCGTGGGATGCAGGCAGTACATGAAACCACACCCCCTCTGGTCCATGGAAAAACCTCTCTCCATGAAACCAGTCCCTGGTGCCCAAAAGGCACTATATAGTATCTTCTTTGCTTAAGGAAGTATCTTTTTAATGTTTCTGATTAGGAAATGTGGACAAATGGAAAAAGAAAAGTAATCATTTGATTTTTTAGGTTTGCTTGAAGATTTCCCTAAAACTGAAGTTAACTGAACATGTACTGTATCTGCTAAATTGCTGAGATCACATAATTGGAACTTTGTTTTTTTCAGAACTGAGTTTACAACTGCATTGCTTTCTGGTCTGTTCCAAAATACTATCTAAACTGTTTGTCTGTCCCTTTAAGTCCCTATATGTCTTGTGGACCAAATACTTGAAGAGGTCTCTCCCAATGTCCTTGCAAAATGAAATTGAAAGTGACAAAGGGATGTACTGTTTTGATGATGCCATCCTGCAAATTAGAATATTTTCCTCATATGTTGTTTTCTTACGTTCATCAAGATTTGTTCTAATCACTGGATGATGTTTTAACTTTCCTTTAGCCCTATTTTTATTTTTGCTTTGGTATTTGTTACCATTTATCACTGTCACTGTCTTCCTATTTTATTACTATTATGTTTGTAAGTTCTGAAATGTTATTTTTTTAAATTGAAAAGAGGAAGAAAAATAGTTTTCAGTCTTTTAGTAGGAGCAATTATGTATTTAATTTGATAGCTTTCATTATGGATTGAATTATACTATAGATTAAAAATGTTTAGTTAATAAACTTTCTTTTACATAATGTGTGACTAAATAATAGTTTTTAATAGTCTAAGTATACTTATTCTAAGATTTTTAGAATCTTGGAGTAGGATTCTAAGAAAATATAGAATAGAAAAATATAGTGTTAGATACCAGTTCTAATTCTACTGCAACTTTTCTGTCCCTTAAGAGTTATGTAGGGCAGTTAATTTATTGAAAAGGAGTTTTATTCAAGCAGATTTATATTTTTATAGAAAAAGTTATATTAAAAATAACTTATTTAAAATATTTGTCTAATTCATTTTAATGACTCATTGCACAATCAGACAGATGTTCAGATTAGATTTGGCATTTTTATTCTCCTAGCGAGCATTATTGATTTTATTTATTTTAAGATAATTATTAATATAATTAATAAAGCTATTATGTTATTAAATTGATCTTCGTTTGAGTTTTCCCTCTATAATTGAGGTCTTGGGAATTGAGGACATTATGTCAGCAAAGCTACTTTTAAATTTTCAATATTTGTAATGCATGGAATTATTTGCGAACTGGAATAAAGGAAATGGGATATGAATTTTATGTTGCAATTAGTATGCTAGCTGTTAGTTGCTATGTTCCATGCCCTATTTATTTATTGCATTTATACATTACCTTTCTCCTGGCAGCTTAAAATATGATAGATGCAGATATTTCCTCATTTCATTCTCACAGAAATAAATGATTTAGGCTGTCATGAGACTAGGCCAAAATAGCTCAGTAAGTTCCATTGTTCATATTTTTGTCAGTATACTGCCGAAAACAAAATAAATGTATACTTCCGTCAAATAAGATAGAACATGTGCATGTTTTCTCTGCATAGGACATACTTTTCAATATAATGTACATCACATATGACAACATTCTAATATTTTGTTATATCTATATCTGCAAAAAATAAATCTTTGGTGGATATATAGTTACAGGACTCTCTGCTTAAATGTATATTATATTATCCTGGTATAATTATAAAAAATAAAGACAGAACAGTGAGTATAATAAAACAGAACTATAACAAATTATTTTCTTGTCTGTGTACAATCAATTATGACCTTTTCATTTCATATGGTGATTTTTCTGTGCTTTCTTCTAGCAGTTTGTTGCCAACTACTTAATCATATTAATCCATCCACAACACCTATGTCTATATATTCTGTGCAGTTTTTAAAGTTGAAAGTATTAAACACACTGCATCCTTTTAAATTGAGTAAGTGTTGGTAGCCTACAGTTTCATTCTTTCCTATCTTTTCTTTTCGCTGCCCTCCTCCGCATGTTCTGCATGGCATCTCTCCTGCTGATGCTGCCTTCACCTGGGTCCTGTGCATGTGTTTCTAATCCCAGGGAGAAGGAATCACTTTGCCTACTACAACTATCCCAATTACGAAGGTAATTCTATAATTTAATACTGCTGTTTCTCACTAATCACTAAAATTATGTTAGCAAAAAGAGCTTCTGTCCATTTTGATAACAAAGCTTTCATTTTCCTTCTTTTATTGCTAAATAGTATAATAAAATTGTTCTCTTTCTCATATACACCTAAACATGGTCAGGATATATGACTTTTGAAAGATTATGGTTTTCCTATTTGTCATTGATAATTTCAATACATTGGAGACTTGGGTTATTACCTTTCTTAAAAAATAATAAACAGTGTGTCCACAGTCAATGATCTCAGACTTTTGTATCATAAATTTCACCATAATGAATTCCTTACAAATATAGGAAAAAGGCACATATTTTGGGAAGAAGATTTCTGTTTGTGTATATATGTCTTTGTGTACATGCACACACACATGCACATACATTCATACTTCCCTCCACACACCCCTTTTTCATATATGTTTTTATTATTATAATTAAAATAAAAGTGAGAGCTGATCGGGTCTGAAGCAGGAGTTGATACTGTGGGAGCAGTCTTTATCTGAGCTCAAACAAAAAAAAATATGTCTAAGTAATGAGAGCTGACTAGTGCAAAACATATTTTTTATTTTTATTTTTGGTTCCTAATCCCAAACTGTAAGTTTGTTCTCAGACTTGTAACAAACTGTGCTGAGCTGTTCAGTTTTATATGTGTATAACATGCATTCCAAGAATGGAACATTCCAGAGAACAACTGAAGAATAGCAGTTTCCCGGAAGTTAGATTACCACAACCTGGAGGGAAACTGGAATGTTTTTGTGTTTCCTAGGCTTGCACTCTGTTTCATTTGCATTAGCATTCTTAACAGAGGATTTGGCTGATTTGCCTTCCTAGTTTTCTCTTTCTCCCCTATGGCTCTTTGCTGATTTATAGAGGCAGTTTGCATCCCAGGTCAACTTTGTCTGCTTACTACCTTGACATACAATGTCCTTACTATAATCTGTATCTAATTGTCTTGTCAATCTGCTTGTTTACTTGGAGCTCACATAATGATATTTAGTACTACCATAGGATTTAGTCTTTGACTTTGCTAGCATAACATTGATGAGAGAACCAGTCAGAATAGTACTAAGTTTGGCTGCTTTGTGATTATATTCCAACTTCTGGGAGAATTTGCTGTCATAGTAATAAACTGAGAAGAACCAGCTTATATTGGATCTACAGAAGATAGATTGGCTTTATCATTGGCCAGTGTTAATTAAAAGTATTTAGTTTGGGCTCAATAACTTGAATCCATATATTATTCATTTCTATTATAATTACAGTTAAAAATTAAGGATGGCTTTGACAACCCCACATGAAACCACTGATGGGACAAAAATTCAAAAACTTTAGAATGCTATAACCATAAAAGATAATATGAGTGAGAAAAAATTATTTTATTCATGCTTTTTATGCTAGGGCTACAACACAGGTGTTAAACTTGCAGCATCATGTTGCCATCACATGATGTATCGTGATGTTTTTCCCCTTCACTGAGCTGGAGTTGCCGTGGTCTGCATGTGACACATCCAACCTGCGGGCCACCAGTTTGACACCTCTGGGCTATAAGAAGTTGAACTAGGGTTGCAGTTCATGCTGACTCTTATTTATTCCCTAATTTGCAAAAAAGCTAGGCTGATAGTAAAATTTGTCTTGATTGTATGGTAACAATATTTCTTGTAATCATTTGCCTTTTAAAAAAATCATTTGCCTTTTAAAAAAATAATAATTCCAAAATTATCCATCATATATATAAAAAAAATCTAAATATTTTCTTGTAGAGTTTCGTTAAGTGCTTTGAATCATTTTGACTACATCTAAAGTGATGAAACTTGTTTGTGTTTCAAACTTGTCTTTATGGTGATGGTGCAGGTAAACTAATCAGTCAGCTTAAGATTCATTTAAATGATCAATTATTCTTGAAGGTCTCAGTGAGGAAAAACGTTAATAAAAGAACACGCTGAGGAGTTATTGCTTATTCATAAAGGTACAGAGGTCTGTGAAACCAGAATTTAGGTGGCTTAGTATGTTTAGGAAGGTTGATGATAATGGCTATGGAAAAAGTGGAAACTCTTCTGGTGCTACTGGAACTGTTGGCAACTTTTAAGAACTTTGGTTACAATAGTAGTGGAAGCTGAAGCAATCAGTGCTGCCAAAATGGCTGGTGAAGAGGAGCCCTGCAAGAAGCAGGATCCCAGAGATGTCAAAATCAGTCTAGCAGCTGGAGAAGATATGAAGTAGCTATACCCACTTAGCAGCCACAGTTGTGATACTGCTGATCAGCTGCTTGGTCCTATGCTGCAAAATGGTGGAAGACTGGTGTCGAGTGCTTATGCAGCAGTGAATATTTGCCTAATGGCATGGATGATACCTACTGTTACGTGCTTGGTGGTGCTCCGGGTAATTTGCTTCCTCCTGTGTTTGCAAAGAGGTGGGGGGATGAGGACACAGAAAGCTACTCCTTAAAGAAATATTGCCCAATTCTTAGCAGATGGTCTCTTGAGTATGAAATCCATAGTGCATTGCAGAGAATAATAAAAATAAATAAAGAAACCATTAGAGAGCATTTCACCAAGGCAGCCGTCGGCGGTGCCATCTTAGAGAGAAAATCTTAGATTCATGACTTTTCTTTCAAGGATAAGTGGCCATCTTGGCTCAGAGGCTTTTGCAGGAATTTTTGCAAAAATTATGCCCATTTCTAGTTCAAGAGCCCATACTTAAGTCATCCATGCTTTCATCAATTCCCATATGGATTAATGCAATTTGCTCTATATGGGATTGACTTTGAAAACTATTTGAAAGCCACAGCAGGGGGCCAAATCCTTCGTTTGCCCCTGTAACACTATTTGTTGTGACTGCAATGGTTGTAAGTGGGTTTCTGAGAGTGATTGAAAGTTCTAGTTATCATTAAAGCCTGCAGTGCATTTGGGCCTGGTTATTTGCAGTCTTGATAATCTCTAATTCTTACTGACTACCCAGAAAAATTGATTCAGTTGATATACTGTGGGACCCATTGGGGTGCCAAACTCACGTCATCGTCTTGTTAACGTGATGTATTGGGACTTTTTTCCCCTTTGCTAAACTGGGCAGTCAGCAGTCAGTTTCTATCTACTACCCTAAGGCATTTCCTCTTATTATTAAAGAGAAAGGCCGGCCTTTTTGTATCATGTTCTCTTTTTTCTATTAGCACTCAGAGGAGAGACTGCCTTAATAAGCAGCCATCTGATCTGTGGGGTTACAGAATTCTTTCAACTCTCTACCTTTAATGGTACTTTAGAAAAGGAACAAATACAGGGTCAATTTTAATTGCCATGTCAGCTTTGTGAAGGCATTTGTCTTTATTTCTGTTTAATATGTAGTACAAGAAGCAGTTCAGAAAGAACCAGTGTGACAAGCAAAAATGGATCCTCTAATTCATTGACAATGGGGATTGCTTTCAATTGTTGGAGATTATTGAAAGTAATGATAGACACATGATCGTGGGGGAGTGAATGGACGGTTTAAAAATAAGGGATATGTCTTACTCCTAATTCCAACATCTGTCTCCCTTCCTGCAGAATTAAAAATAACCTCTATACATTGGTATGGAAAAATGCAGATCTTTCTTGTTTCAGATTTTCACTTTGATGGTTCTGCTTGGGGGAATGTATCAGCGGGTAGCTTATTTATAGCCCAGCCTGGTCCTTGCTGATGCAACAGATAGTTGGGGTTGGTTATGGCAATTTTGAATTTGATAGCAACTCCCAAATTTAATTTTTCAGAACTATTCTCCTAAAAACATTTTGGATTCTGCAGGAATGGAAGTTGACTAAACAATTTACCAAAACTCAGCATCTTCTAAGATTCTCTCCTGATGTTCTCATTGTAGGGGAAAAGCTCAACAAATTAGTTTAAAGCAGCAGATACACTATATCTGCTGCTTTTGCATAATGCTCTTGTAGGACTATATATGCAATATATTCAATAATTGTTTAGTTATAAACAGCGTTGAGACAAAGTAAATGAAAGTTTCGGTTTTATAATCACAATTTCACAACACATTGTTTTTATTTCTATTTTATTTGGTTTGTCAATTGCTTACAAGATAATAGGTATAAGTAAAAACATAGTTATGAATACATGGATACATATAAGAAAAATAAAAGAAACAATAGGACAGGGACAGTAGGCAAACTGGTGCGCTTATGCACGCCCCCTACAGACCTCTTAGGAAAGGGGTGAGGTCAATAGTAGGAAGTCCAAGGTTAAAGTTTTTGGGGTTTGGGGAAGAAACCACAGAGTCAGGTAGAGTATTCCAGACATTGACCACTCTGTTGCTGAAGTCGTATTTCCTGCAATCAAGTTTGGTGCAATTAACCTTGAGTTTGTATCTATTGTTTGCTCTTGTATTGTTATGGTTGAAGCTGAAGTATTCTTTGACAGGTAGGACATTGCAAAGTATGATTTTATACACTATACTTAGATTGGACTGAAGGCAGCATAGTTCTAGGTTTTCTAGGTTTAGAATTTCAAGTCTGGTGGCATAAGATATTCTGCAACTAGTAGAGGAGTGGAGAACTCTTCTTGTGAAATATTTCTGGACTTTCTCAACTGTGTTAATATTAGATACATAATGTGGGTTCCAGACTGATGAGCTGTATTCAAGTATTGGTCTAGCAAATGTTTTGTATGCTCTAGTTAGTAGTGTGATATTACCAGAGAAAAAGCTACGTAAGATTAGGTTAACAACTCTTAATGCCTTTTTGACTATGTAGTTACAGTGGGCTCTAGCACTTAGATCATTAGAGATGAGTACTCCAAGGTCCTTGACAGAGTTTGGATCATCAACAAGGTCTTGACTATTCACCCTATATTTTATTTTCTGATATATATATTTTTTGCCAATATGTAATTACGACAGAGCATTTGTTTGTTGAGATTTGAAGTTGCCATTTGTTTGAACATTCTGATACATAGTCGAGGTCTTTTTGAAGGGTATCAGTATTGTCGGTGGTGCTGAATAGCTTTACATCGTCAGCGAAGACGCAGTTGCTCTTGATATGATCACAGAGGTCATTTATGTAGAGTATGAAAAGAGTTGGTCCTAGAACACTGCCTTGGAGGACACCACTGTTGACTGTTACAGAATTTGATAGGATGTTCCCAATTTTGACCATTTGTTTTCTGTTTGACAGCAGTGCTTCTATCCAGTTATGAAGGTGTCCAGAGATACCATAGAATTTTAGTTTTAGGAGTAGTTTGTCATGTACCACTGAATCAAAGGCTTTACAGAAGTCTATGTAGATTGCATCTATTGCTTTGCCCTGATCGAGTTGTATAGTTCATATGTTTTTGCAGTGTAAGAGTTGCAGATTGCAGGATAGTTTTTTTCTGAAACCAAATTGTTTGTTGGAGAGTAGGTTGTTTGTCTCTAAGTGGAGGATAATGGATTGGTTAATAATTGATTCCATGACTTTACAGGTGACGCAGCAATAAGAGATTGGTCTATAATTTTCAACTAGGCTGGGCTCTCCCTTTTTGAAGATGGGGACGACCGTGGCTTGTGACCATAGTTTTGGCAAGGAGCTGGTCCTGAAAGACTTTTCAAAAATTATGCTTAGAGGTTCAGCTATGGCAGTGGATAGCTTTTTTAAGAAGTAGGCACATATTCTGTCCGGTCCAATAGATAGAGATGGTTTTAGATTGCATAGTGCTTTTTCAACATTGTCTTCTGTAAAATCGATATGTATTAGATCATTGTAGTTGTCTATGGTTCGACTAGGAAATACTGGGCATGATCCATTGCTGTTTACAATACTGAGCCAAAGAATGTGTTAAAGAGGTTGGCTTTAATGGTGTCATCATTGCAGTAATATTCATTGCAATAATGTTTTTTCTTCATAAATTCTTTGGGTATCTCAGGGTAGAGATTCTGTTAATTCCTAATGGCTCCTGAGACAAGTAAACCAAATAATGTAATGCTTAATATTTCTCTTGTATGTGGAGCATTTCACAAGGATCCATTTGCTAATCAGCATTATTCTGAATGTAGTCAGAGGAAACCTGGAGCCTAAAAGAAATACAGAATGCAGTTTATTCTAGAAATGTGATTTCAAATAAAGGTTTAAAAGGTTATTAAACTGCCATCTCTTGGATAGTGCTACATTAACTCTTACGATCTTAAAGCTATTATTAAAAAGGCAAGCTGTAGAAATCAAGCAACATTATCTGGAAGGACGTTCAGCATAGTTCTGGGGAAAATACAGTATTCTGGAGTTCCTTTCCTGGATCAATGAATGTTATACATCTCTATTTAGCTAATCTTAAGTATAAATTACTGATTTGGGAAATAATTTATATTAGAATACCTGGACCATTTAAAAACCATTTAAAGATTTCAATAACAGTTCTGTCTCTGCTGTATGTCTGTCATCTATCCCATCACATTGGTTTTAGATTTTTATGACATTAAATACACTGCTCAAAAAAATAAAGGGAACACTTAAACAACACAATGGAACTCCAAGTCAATCACACTTCTGTGAAATCAAACTGTCCACTTAGGTAGCAACACTGATTGACAATCAATTTCACATGCTGTTGTGCAAATGGAATAGACAACAGGTGGAAAGCATAGGCAGTTAGCAAGACTTCCCTAATAAAGGAGTGGTTCTGCAGGTGGTGACCACAGACTGCTTCTCAGTTCCTATGCTTTCTGGCTGATGGTTTGGTCTCTTTTGAATGCTGGCGGTGCTTTCACTCTAGTGGTCGCATGAGACGGAGTCTACAACCCACACAAGTGGCTCAGGTAGTGCAGCTCATCCAGGATGGCACATCAATGCGAGTTGTGGCAAGAAGGTTTGCTGTGTCTGTCAGCGTAGTGTCCAGAGCATGGAGGCGCTACCAGGAGACAGGCCAGTACATCAGGAGACGTAGAGGAGGCTGTAGGAGGGCAACAACCCAGCATTAGGACCACTACCTCCACCTTTGAGCAAGGAGGGACAGGAGGAGCACTGCCAGAGCCCTGCAAAATGACCTCCAGCGGGCCACAAATGTGCATGTGGCTGCTCAAATGATCAGAAACAGACTCCATGAGGGTGGTATGAGGGCCCGACGCTCACAGGTGGGGGATGTGCTTACAGCCCAACACAGTACAGGAATGTTGGCATTTGCCAGAGAACACCAAGATTGGCAAATTCGCCACTGGCGCCCTGTGCTCTTCACAGATGAAAGCAGCTTCACACTGAGCACATGTGACAGACGTGACAAGGTCTGGAGACGCTGTGGATAGCATTCTGCTGCCTGCAACATCCTCCAGCATGATCAGTTTGGCAGTGGGTCAGTAATGACATGGGGTGGCATTTCTTTAGGGGCTGTACAGCCCTCCACGTGCTTGCCAGAGGTAGACTGACTGCCTTTAGGTACCGAGATAAGATCTTCAGACCCCTTGTGAGACCATATGCTGGTGCGGTTGGCCCTGGGTTCCTCCTAATGCAAGACAATGCTAGACCTCATGTGGCTGGAGTGTGTCAGCAGTTCCTGCAAGAGGAAGGCATTGATGCTATGGACTGGCCCGCCCGTTCCCCAGACCTGAATCCAATTGAGCACATCTGGGACATCATGTCTTGCTCCATCCACCAACGCCACCTTGCACCACAGACTGTCCAGGAGCTGCGGGATGCTTTAGTCCAGGTATGGGAGGAGATCCCTCAGGAGACCATCCTCCACCTCATCAGGAGCATGCCCAGGCATTGTAGGGAGGTCATACAGGCACGTGGAGGCCACACACACTACTGAGCCTCATTTTGACTTGTTTTAAGGACATTCCATCAAAGTTGGATCAGCCTGTAGTGTTTTTTTTCCACTTTAATTTTGAGTGTAACTCCAAATCCAGACCTCCATGGGGTTGCTAAATTTGATTTCCATTGATAATTTTTGTGTGATTTTGTTGTCAGCACATTCAACTATGTAATGAACAAAGTATTTAATAAGAATATTTCATTCATTCAGATCTAGGATGTCTTATTTTTGTGTTCCCTTTATTTTTTTGAGCAGTGTCTATTCCCATGACCCATTTGTTATGTTAGCAATTATCAGAAATATCAATGTATAAAGCTCCCCCTCCACCCCTGTACTTGCACTGTCTTTGATCTTCCCAGTGCTTTCCCTCCCCCCCCTCCCTGTTTGGTGGCTTCGGCTTCTTTCTCCCTCAGTAACATTTTTGCTTTGCACATCTGTGTTTCAGTCATAATCCAGAACAAAATATCCCTGTTTCAGTCCATACTTGGCCCAACATTTCAGTTGGATCATGAGTTATTTTTTGCATGCAACAATTTGTGCATAAAGTGGTTTGTACACCCCTTCTCAACAGTATATTAATAGCTCCTGAAAGTCAATTGAATCCATAATATTCACCTACAGAAAAACAGGCATAGAGAGGCATTAACCTGGTTAGAGGCACTTCTGCTTAGTATTCAGTTACTTTTAACAGAATTGGGCCTAATTAATATGGCTGGTGCAGAATTAGTTTTCCAATTGATATCAGGGTGATTGAAGTCCCCGTTAATGTTGTAGTGTGTTTCCTACATATATATGTTGGTTGGTTGGTTACAAGATTTCTTAGATAATTTAAGAAGTATTCTATTTAATCTTTTAGTATTACACAAATGAAAATATGTAGAATAGAACGAATTAACATAAAAGGCAACCTTTTCCTTCTGCAGAGGGAGAAAATGAGAGCTAGCAGAAGGAAGGGATGATCCTCTAGAGCAGTCTTTTGGCGGCACAGAGAATAATTGATTTTTAAACATAGTTAAAATTAGTTTTGAAGTGGCATTTGACACAATATGGGGAGTTTTGACCTATGCCCAGAATTAAGATCATTCATTGTGCTGGTCATTAAGTATATCACCATGTGACTGTACCTGTTTTTACAACCTTTTTTGAGGCAATTATCAAGCGAATCCATGGGCATTTTTTGCCTGAAATCAGAAGTAGACACCGGTTTCCAGCAACAAATGTTATAAATTGTTATAAATTGTGTGGGGCATTGCAAATGACTGTAATTGCTGAGTGCCCAAAATGCAATCGTGATTCAGTGGGGGTGGGGTGGGGGGGTGGAGCATCAGAACTTTGAAGCTGTGTCATAAGCAGTCCTGGAAGAGACCACGGTAATAGTCATTAAGCTATGGGTCTATTAAGTCAAGGACTACTGTACATGATTATGTCTTAAAAAATTAGTGTCTTTTGCTTAGTTTCATGATAAAATTATCTGTTGCTACAGATGGTTCTGACTCCAGAGATAAACCGAAGCTCTATCGTTTGCAACTAAGTGTGACAGAAGTTGGTACAGAAAAATTTGATGACAACTCCATTCAGGTGAGCAATAGTATTTTGGGACAAATAGTTACATAACAGTTGTGTTCAAGTTTCAGAGTATTAAAGAATTATGTCTGTAAGCCACATTTAGTGTATATGAACAAAAATGTAATTGGTTGCAAATTACAGTTGTGAGGCTAAAATATCTTTGTGACATGTGTAAAAGAAAATTTCCAAGTGAGGCTGGGCATAGAATGTGAACTCTTTAACATTGCAATGCACAGGTCTATTGGAACATCTGAAGAAGATGTAATATTTTGAGTGATGTTGGAGAAAGGCAATTACATGCCAGATTCTTAAATTAATAACATGAAATTGAGCAGTATTTTAAAATGATTCTTTGAAACCATTGTCAAATCCTTCTTGTAGCCATACACTACACTGATTTGAGCATATAGCTTTAGTAAAAGTAGGTACCTGAATGTTAAAAGTTATAAACAACTGTGTATTCAGTAGATGGGAAAAGAGACAATCTTTGAGTCTGTTCAAGGCTAATATAGGTGTGTGTTCTATCATTTTGAAATGAGTCATAAGGATCTTGGCTTTATGTTTTAACTTTCCTTGTATGAGAAGTTTTGATCACTCATCGGCTCAAGGTTGACTCAGCCTTCCAAGGTTGGTAAAATGAGGACCCAGATTGTTGGGGGCAATATGCTGATTCTGTAAACCACTTAGAGAAGGCTGTAAAGCAGTATATAAGTCTATTGCTATTTGTAAAAAGCCCACCAAATAGTGATCTGCAAAAATGTGGATTTGCAAATTAGCAAATCCACAAATGTCTCTTCATCCATATTGTTGCTATGCTGGCACTTGTGATATATTTTAAATTGTATTCAGAAGTATTGGATTCCTAATGTGCCAAATGGATTTTGAGAGGATAAAGGTCCTCACAAGCCTAAAGCACTGTCTTGTATTAATTAATCATGACTTAGATTAAATTTGAATAAATGCAAAATATAATTTGCTTCTGTTTCATCAATGATTTCTAAAATACTTTTGTGTCATTTTGTTCTGTGTTCATAGATTTTGTCAATTATGGTTTCTGTCTTCATTAAACATTTTACTATAATTACTTCCAAAAATAATTCACAACCACAGAAATATTAAAGGATATATTTAGGCAGGAATTATTGAGTGAGAAAATTGTCAGTTCAACACATCTTAGTATAAATAAATAAAAGCATAAAATTGGTTGGAAACATACTGTGGAACAGATCTCATTTCAAGTTTGCAATCACTTCTTAGTAATAAATGTTCTTAGTTTGCTTCAACAAGATAAAACATAGTAAAAAATTAAATGATTATTTGGTTTTTTTAAAAATGAATTTTATTGCTACATTTTAGTAGTTAAAGGTGCAAATTGTGATATATTGAAATAGCCTAAATATTAATAAATGGTAACTTTCTACAATAAGAGCATTATTACTAGAAATGAATTGATTACCAATTAATTAATTATTGATCCCATTACAGTCTACCAACTCTGTTCTGCTTATATAATGTTAGGTTGATGATTGCTTATATGCCATCAATTTGCAACCAATTTGTGGTTTAATAAGAAAAAATGGATATCTCTTTGAATTATATAGATGATTGCACATTTATTATTATATATTTTTTAAAAATCCTGATTTTTTTGCTTTGATTATTTGTATCGTCAGTTATTTGGTCCAGGAATTCAATCACACCACTGTGACCTTACTAACATGGATGGAGTTGTTACAGTGACTCCCAGAAGCATTGATGCTGAAACTTACGTAGAAGGTCAACGGATCTCTGAGACCACTATGCTGCAAAGTGGTATGAAAGTTCAGTTTGGGACCTCTCATGTATTTAAATTTGTGGACCCCATTCAAGATCATATTCCTAAAGGACGTCTAGATGCAAGCCACATGGTCAAAAGTTCACGTCTCAAATCTGGGTAAATCCACAGTTTTTAAGAAGTAATCTCAAATTTAGAAAATTATTTAAGATGGTGAGGATGTATCGTGTTTTTATGAAATGTGCCAACTGATAATGATGTTAATTTGCTCACCAGTAATTGTTCTCCATTGTATGAAATCTTCTGCAATTCACATGTCTTCATAATTAGATTAAATGTTAGGATTTTAATAATACTGTACATTAGCAGAAATCAATTTATACATTTATATTTTACCCTTCTTATGGACTATTTAGGCAACTAATGGCAACTAAAAACATTATAAATGATGCTACTGAAAGTTACAAAGAAGAGTTATAGAAGAGGGAAATTGTAGTAATTAAAATTGAATTTATTTTGATACTGAAGCTAATACCATCATAAAGAGGGTCTTAAGTAACTGATGGCAAAAGGTCATCTGAATGGTAGGAAGTCACCTACTTTCCAATGTAGGGAGTTGTACAATATGAGCATAATCCTTAAAAAGTCTGTTTCATCAACATAAGACCTACCCTGTTTATCATCTTTTGAGACTGATTGGCATTTTGCCTATGTCTAGTATTTCCGAAGTTCATCCTTGTCTAAGAAGGATACTTTTTTTGCTGTAAAGTTCAGTCATTCAATTAGAATTGTTCTCCTTTTGTTTAGATTCCAATATAGATCTTATTCTAGGATGACAAAAGCTGTTTCAATCTTGTATTGGATCTAAAGTCTACTGGGTCTGCTAATTTATTTTTAGAAAAAATACTAACATAAACAAAAAGTATCAGTACCCTGTAATATGATGAAATAAGCAAATATACATACATTTAATGTATTTAAATACATTAACTGCAATTCTTGCAGGATCTTGTTACATTATAAAAATACGTAGTGTCATGCAGTATTAAAATTCAATTTATATCAATAGAAAAGAATCGCCTATTGACAATTGCTAATTAAGTATTTGAGATCTTTAAAATAACATGGTATTTCTGTCTTGAAATCAATAAATAATAATTGTTAGCAAATCCACTGAAAGTATGACTGTTAATTTTTGTTCCATCCATTTAAAAAAAATCTGAAATAAATTCAGAGGAAAAGTATTTCATGGTATTTTACATTGTCTGAAATCAGATTTCAGAATGAGAGATGCTGAAATACTATAGTAGTTAAAACATTTCTCCACTGTATCCAAGATTGATAGAATAACTGATAAATGAAATGTCTAGGCTTGGAAAAAATAAAAGGTTGCCTACATTTAGGTAGGTAGGAAGGAAGATAGATTTTGAATCATATTGAGCACTTTGAAGGTTTCCACTTCAAATGTGAATCTATTATTTTGAGCTAGGGTCAGCTCTGTTTGATCCAAAGATACTTTCAAAATGCCCAGGACATTTCACAAACTTAAAATGTAAAATTACATGCTCAAAATAGTTTAAACTGAAATGTGCACACCCCTTCTTAACACTTTCAGATACTTTATACTTTTATGTGAATCAAATACACAGTGAATTTGCTAACAATGATAATTACTGAACAATTATGTAAGAATTGCTTTTATTATCTGTGCTTAATGTTTGCTGAATGTTCCTAATCATGTAGTTCTTGAATGTATATTGCCTTCTCAGAGGTGTACAAGAAACTACTTTTGATTTGGAAGGAGACATCCAAAGTGTAACAGGATTATCTACAAGCAAGGTAACAGATTATTAGTCTGAATAGCATGACTATTATCAGACTTAACAGTTGGTACTTTAAATATATTAAAGAACACAGGAACATCTCAGTATAACCATTCAGTTTTCTGTTTAGTGCTTTGAATGATTCGATGATTTATTTTTAAAGTTCAGGCAGTCCTTTTCACATTGATTTGTCAAATAATATTTTCATGGAATTTATGCAAAATATTGAGAGGAGATTTGTTGGAATGCCACATGGGAATGAACAGGGAATCTTCAGATGAAACATTTGCTTATTTGGTTTTAGAAAGACAGTTTTCAGAAAGCATGTTCACTATTACTAGATTTAATAAGATAAATATTTAAGAAACTTGTGATGATTCGTAATTTTATATGAAAGTACATTTAAATCCACTAAAACAACTTTTGGATATATGTTGTATGGAGCAGAGCAGCAATAGATTGGACTGTGACAGAATGTCAACTTCTAGCACAGCTGAACGAAGCATGGTGAAACCAATGATCAGAATAGAACAGCAAGATTATCACAAGCAGGATGGCAGGTACCAAAAATACTTTTTAAAATTTTGTGACTAAAATTTAAAGAGCATTATTTTTAAATTAAAAAAAAACACAATAGGCGGGTTTGAGAAGAAAGTTGAATGTATTTTTATGGAGAAAACTAATACTTTGAAAGGTCTTTCCAAATAATAGGTTATATCTTTTATTAAGATACTAGTGTTTTTTTTTTAAATTTTACAGCCATTGCCAGCCATAGTATGCCACAAATTCTGTAAAGTACCTTTTTTTACTTGTTACAATTTGTTCATACTTATCTAATATCCTGCCTATAGAGTTTCTTTCTGGACAATTCCCAACTCTTCTTGCATTTGAGGCCATGTGGTGAAAGGGGAGCAAACTACTTGTGTTCAGTTCTTCATGGTGGAACCATTGTCTTGGGGTGGTCAAGGTTTTTTTACTTCTTTGGATCACAACTAATTTGAAATCCCAAAGAGCTTTTTAAAGGCAACTGGACTAATCTCCATAAAAAACTACATTTGTTTTGTCACATGCTTGAAGCAACCTTATTTTTTGGGGGGGGAGGGGGGGGAGCTTTCTTTTAAGCCATGCTAAATCTAGTATTATGTGAGAAATTAATTAAAGCTGGCAAACACTATTCAGCATTTAATATTTCTGTAAGTACTGTAATCTATTCACCTGCAGATTGTATTTCTGAAATAAATTAAAAATAGACATCATAATCATATAATACCAGTATTTACTATTTTCAATGGCTCATAACTTATTATTCAGCCAAATTAAAAGTGCTGACTTAATCTCCAAACCTTCATATTTTGAGATTCCTTCTCTTGTTTTCTACTCATACTACCTGAGTCTTTACTTCTGGGTACTGAGGCATACTGAAATCTATCAGATGACTACTCTTGAATGAGCTATCTGATCAACAACCCTCCCTTATGTAACACTTTTATAATATAGTTTATAAATAAACCTCTTGTTCACTTTTGTTTTCCCTTGTTATAAGTTTAAGTAACATGATCTAATTACAGTAGATGGCGAACTGTCTTGAACAAGAAATTGTGTGCTTCAAATGCATTAATAGTGCAGACCTTCAATTCAAGTAGGCTTGCTGTCTTTTCAGCAAATGTAACCTCAGTGAATCTAATAGTAAGAGCAGGAAAGTAACGCGATATAATTCCTGTGTGCCAGTGTTTTTGTATTTCATATGTATACATAAAAATGTACACAACCATAAAACAAAAACCTTTGGAAAAATCTTTATCTCTTGAAAGTGAAATTAATTTGTTCTCTTTGAACTGGATTTCTGAAGATCTGCTTTCTGCCTCTAGACTTCAGGATGGTCCAGAATTGATACTACCTGCAAGTGTTGAATTCAGAGAAAACTGTAAGTATGTATTTTTATTTACAAAAATAATGAAGAGTAACAATGATTTTTATTACATAATGTTTTATTTTGATAATATTGAATATAAAAATTGACTGTCTGCAATAATGATATAAAAATAATCAGTGTTTAAATTCAAGCCTGTAAGCAACTTTCTGATTCCATATGATGTAGAATATAAAATCCAGTTTAAAAATACTAGTTTTGTCCTGAATTTGGTCAGAGCCCTTAGTTATTCGGATCTGCTTTAGTTAACAAAAATGAACTTTCTAATTTAAGATAGGCCTACTCTGTTAAATATTTTAGAAAGCAGCAGCCCAAGAAAGACGAAATGGATTAATCTGCAGCCATTTTGCCAATGTTGCTAGCAGTGATCATGGCATCAAATACTTTATGCTAAATGCATGGTTTTGATTATGTCATTAAGACAAGAATAACTCCACATCCATGTATAAAATTAATCAGAAATGTTACTAAATTAATTGCCATGTTTTAGGTTAATGGTGGGAAAATTCATTTAAATTAGTGGTATGGACATTATTTAGAGTTCTCTGATACAGATTTATTAAATTCCTTTTTGCATTTTGCTTTACTTGCCTGTTATTGCCCTTTACTATTTAATTTTCAGTAATTTAATCTTGTAAAAATATTTTGGTGTTAACATTTGAGTTATGAAAGTGATCCCAATAATTTAATTTGGGGTTTTTTTTGAAATGGTGTCTTACTATTGCTTCTTAGATTTTTCAATTCAGAGTTAGTTTATCCCTTTTTTGTTTTGTTCTTCAGCTGAGGATGCTTTTTTGTCTGCCATCATCAATTACACCAATAGCTCAACAGTGCATTTTAAGCTATCGCCTACTTACGTTCTGTACATGACATGTCGGTATGTATTATCAAGCCAGTACAGACCCGACATCAGTCCTGCTGAACGAACTCATAAAGTCATTGCAATAGTCAACAAGATGGTGAAAATGATGGAAGGAGTTATACAAGTGAGTTTCAGTCTGAGAACCTACTAATGTTTTTACATGCACAAAAAAGACTGCTTTTGCAGGATTGTTTTTACCAAGTTGCATTTATATTAGAGATCATAAGCACAGTTTGTTTTGGATATAATAATGCCATTTGTAATTGTGTATGAAATAATTCTTGTTGCGACCAAACTGCAGTCAGACATTTGCAATGAACCTACAAAAAATATGGAAAATGTTTTTTAAAAACAGTGATATTTCTTGATATGGAATGGTGAACAGGATGTACAAACGATCTGTTATAGATCGTTTAGTGTTAATATTCATATGTTTTATTGATACATAAATCTATTTCAAATTATCTTCAAATTTTATTTGACTTATCAATATTGGTTCAGTTTTGTGGAATATGATGGTAATCATGTTACTATCCTACCGTGTTTCTCATATAATAAGGCCGGGACTTATTTTTTTTTGAGCCCCGAAAAAATGGCTAGGTCGTCTTTTCAGGGGTGACTTAATTCCCTCCCCCCTTGCATCTTTGGGCGGGCGGCGACGGTTTGGATGTTGACCTCGGTGTTGGTGGGGCACTTCGTATCGGGGTCAATGCAGGCAGCACCATATCCGGGTGTGCAACAAAAGTACTTCCTAACGGCAAGCCCCCCCACCATTCCCCCCATTTCGCATGTTTTAATATAGGCCTTAATTTGGGGGGAGGGGCTTAATTTCATTTCATGCCTATAAAACATGCTGGGACTTCCTATTGGGGGAGGCCGTATTGTTGGAGAAACGGTATCATTCTGTCTTTTTAATGAAAGTTGCTGTGAATAAAAAACTGTTTCCACATGTTTCGGCTGATGGCTGTGGGTGGGTAATTCCCAAAAATTGTGGGCTGGTGGGTCAGTTCCTCCAGAAAAACTGCATAGAAAGTTGGTAAGAAGATGAAAAGATGTGGGTGGCAGTGGTAGGGAGGAGATGAATTGTGAACTGTGTTCTTCAGCAAGATTTCAGTCATGGGAAGATTACTTCTGTTTATGGAATGAACACTTTGGATCCAAACTGTTATCCATCTATGCAGGGACAATAAATTATTATTGATAATAATTATAATTAAATATAGCAAGCTTTTAAATATAAAGTGGTGCCATAACTTGAGCATCACTCTATTTTTTATATTCTGTGTCCAAATAATTCCATTTATATGAACAACATATTCCTAGTTATGCAGCCAATTTATTAAGTGTTTCAATTTTCATTTTCTTTTAAATTGTCTTGTTTCTGTCTTCACATGTCTCCTGTTACTTTAATGATGCTGCAGATCTGAAGTATGATTCTGCAAGGACCAATGTGCAAAAACTGTTTAATAGAAGCCAGTAGAACACTTCTCAAAGCAGGCTGCCATCTTATTTAGCAGGCTTAGCTGCACCGCCTCATATTCTATGAGACAGGCATTGTGTATATATGTGTGACTTTGAGTGAGTCTTTGACTTATGGTGATTGTCTGAACTAGTTCCTGTTAGTCTTTCATGCAGATTTAAAAAATAGGTAACATTTTTGCATAATAATGACCTATAATTATTGCTTCAATAATTTTATTAAGAATTGTATTATATGTATAAAACTGATACATGAAACTAATATAAAAAGTAAGAAAAAGAATCTCCCTTGTCTATCCCCATATTCAAATTAGTACATTTCTATTTTCTCTTGAAAAATTTAGATTGCATGAATACCACAGGAAAATAACTTTGTTACCTCAGGGGCTATAGCACTAAAGATCTTTTATAAAAAAAAAAACCTGTAGTGGTCAAAATTGAAAAAAACCAATCATGAATATCACTAATATTCTATTAAACAAAAGATATATTAAACAAAACAGCTTTACTGTGAAGCATAACCACTCGTAAAAGAAAGCTACACATGGGGCCTATTCAGTTTGGCTATTTAATTGGCAGCACTTTTCATTAACCAAAAGACTAATACTTTATTTTATGATTGGCTTGGTATCTAATTTTGTTTTTTTTAATTGTATCTGCAATGATGGTTTATGGGGGATATGAGTACAACAATCTTGCCCTTTCCCCTCGTTTGTTGCTGAGCAAAAATATTGTTCCTTTTGTGCTTTCCATTCTCTTCTCTTTCCTTGCCTGATTGAGACTTCTTTTGCCTAGGACGGAAATGTTGTTTGATGTTTAAGTTCTTACCCAGCAGACACTGTTGTAGGGTGGATCAACCTATCCTCCTTAGCAACCTCTTTCCCTTTCTTGTACAATTTCAGTTTCATTCAGTTTCGTTTGTATTGCTTGGTAGGAGATTCTTTCAAATAGCAACAATGGCCCACTTGGCCAAGGAAGTCTGTCAAGGTGAGCTGCTAAGCCATTGCTCCTCCTTTTCCTGCAGCACTTCCCATGGCTTACCCTGAATATCTGTGTGGTCTTAAGTCTCTGATCTTGCTGTGAAGCATTGTTTCAGTGGTTTGGAAGTATTATTTGGAGGCATAGAAAATGATAGTGAGAAACAGTAAGTGAGACGATAGAGAAGTAATATAAGAGTGGCTTAGGAAATCCTGGATCCTAAGTATAAAGTTTTGAATGAATGCATTATTTTGTTTGGTAGAGGTTTTATTTTTATTTCTCTAACAATACTGTTACTAACTGTTATGGCTAGTGTGGTGAAGAATTGCCAAGATAGAAGACTTTACTGGCTTCCATGGACAGATTTAGACATTATTCCATGTAGGATTATACTATTGGTATTAATGCATATATACATAGATTGGCTGGAGGAAAAACTTGGACTTCCTCTAAAAAGTTCTCGTGTGTGTATATATATATATCTCTTTTAATTTCTCAGTTATATCATGTTCCCCCAGTGAAATGTTTTAATGTGACTGAGCATAAGTCTTGTGCTTTCATATTTTAGTGTTTCATTTCCAAAATGTCATGATTGTTCACAAGTTTCTTTCTTCTGTTTGATTTCCTTCGTTTTTCTCCAGGAGGTAGACCAGGTTGATCAGGTAGGATATATTGCTGGGAACTGATCCTAGCTATGTTGGCTTAGCTCAGTTTCTCATGCTGCTTCCATGTAAAATACAGTATTTCTACAGCTGGATTGAACATAACACTCATTCAGCAACTGGAACATGCAGTACTAAAATCCTTTTTTGACTGCGCAGCCTATCAGCATTTCATAATTTCTGCTTAACGCACTTCAGTACAGAGATGTAATGACAAAAGTTCTTTCCCTTCCTTTTTTGTTTATTTTGTCTGTGGTTCTGTTCTTTGGATCTCATCTGAGGTTGCCTGGCCTAGCCTTTGTGGTCGGGAAAGGGTGAGATAGATCAGTACTTGATACTGCTTAGTGTCAAAGCCAGTGACTAGGCAGTATCTGGGTGACAGTGTGTATTAAAGAATGTGTGCTCACACACATACAGATTACCAGATAATGCATACATCTAAGCTTTCAACATTTCATGACAACATGCTAAATCCATTTCATTAACAGCATTTGGAAAATTTAATATTTTGTCATTCAACTTGCAATTTAAAGCAGTTGTAACATGCACTATGTATTATTTGCAGTTTCATATAAATTCTTTGCAAATATCTGGTAACTGAGATATGTTTGGTTATTAGTTGGTACTGGTCTATCTAACAGAGCCTTTGACAATGAAAGTTGAAATACAGGATGAATTTATGTTGATGTTTACAGCCCTTTTTCAATATTTGCAGAAACAGAAGAATATTGCTGGCGCACTTGCTTTTTGGATGGCAAATGCATCTGAGTTGCTAAATTTTATTAAGCAGGATCGAGACTTAAGCCGAATCACATTAGATGCTCAAGATGTTTTGGCACACCTAGTTCAGATGGCATTTAAGTAAGAAAAACTAATTTATGCTTGTGGGTCCGTTTTAATTTTTCTTAATGAGAAATTGTTTATTCTGATAAACAAATTCTAAATCTGTTTGGAAACAAAATAATATGTTTCTAAAAGTGTAACTGTTCTGATGTGTATTCTTTCTAATTTTTAAAATAATTTTGTTACATATACCAGCATAGTTACTATATTCTGAAAAATTATAAATTATTGTATGATTATAAAAGAAACATTCAGTTTGGAGCTCTAAGGAGTATTCAGGAATATTGGATTAGCATAGTATTTTAAAATTAAGGTAGCTCCCCCTCCCTAAAGACAACCTGAAATTTAAGATACCTTCCCATCCCCCCAAAAGAAAAATCAGGTAAAAAATGTTAAATATATGAAATTCCTTTACACTGTCCACCTTTCCTAACTTGTTAAGTAGGGAAATCAATCAGTAATTCCTCCCACAAAAATAATAGTGCCATAAAATAATTAATTTGAGATACTTGTTAATTTTTTATAAATTTGTGCTGGTCCAAATTTTAATATTTTAATTCAATTTTAGTGCCAGAATATTTCTATTTCTTGGAAATAATGTAACAGATGTTTCACAACTTGTGATATGTGTATGTGTGTGTGTAGGCTGTGTGCACATGCGCACACACACACACACAATGTATGTATGCTACTATAATACTTGTTTGAAAATAAGCACCACAGAACAATGGGACTTATTTTTGAGGTGATACATATAGGGAACATCTGGGAGATGTAGATTTTTCTGTGTTTGTAATGAAATTATTTTTCATAGCACTACAAGCTTGAACTTATTTGTCTACTATTCACCAGTTTCACACAATTTACTTTTTCAGATACTTAGTCCACTGTCTTCAGTCAGAGCTTAATAACTACATGCCTGCATTCCTTGATGATCCAGAAGAGAATAATCCTCAAAGACCTAAAATAGGTTAGAATATTTTATGTTATATTAATTATAACGTATGTTATCTTAACAAGACTGTGATAGCATAACGAGAATGTTAGGAAACCCTGCTGAGTATATTCATGCACAATAAGAAATATTTTATTTACCTATAAATAAAGACATTTATTTATTTAGGGAACTTGGCCACCTACTGAAAACCAGGTCATCCATTACATTATTGTTTGTGTGATATTAGAATGTACTTGTTAATGTAAGTACACAAACTTACCTGTGGAGATGTAAATAAATATTATAATTATGCTCTAAGAGGGTCTTACAGTAAACTCATATATAACTTCATTGTGGAGAAAAGATACTTTACATAAACTTCAATGGTTTATATTATTTTACTGAAAGTGGAATAGTGGAATACTGAAATACTGTAGAGTAGGATTTAGATGGTAGCATTACTAAAAAAAATGTGCAAAGTTTAGAAGAAACTCAGTTAAACTTTGACGTGATGAGTAGTTTTGGAATACCCAATAATAAAACTATATTGAGAAGGAATGAATAACTATAAATCACCAGTGGATTCCTTAATTAACTTGTTTATGGCTTAAATAGGGAAACATGTGACCTTTAATTTATTATAGATTGTAGATGCAAATAAGAAAAAGACTGCTGCTCCCATGTTTATATACTGTTTATGTTACAACTAAGGTAACAGATTTGGCGACTTGCTAATTATACAATAGTAATAGCCAACTGCTTGTTTTTGTTTCTGAGAGTCAGAGTCAGAGAAAGCAGTAAAGGATTAAAATAATAAAAGCTTATTTTTATCCATATCAATATATTTATATTATATATTATATTAATATTAAAAATTTATAATATAATGTGATATATTGTAAAGTAATGTAAGATGTTCAGTGTTATCTTTCTGTAATAAAGATTTCCATTTAGACTTTAGCTTTTGATATTAACATAGTTGCATAGTTCCATTTAGAATTTATTGCTGAATAATTGTCATGTGCAACTTTTTTCTTGTAGATGATGTCTTGCATACATTAACTGGAGCCATGTCCCTGTTGCGACGATGTAGAGTGAATGCAGCCCTGACAATACAGCTCTTCTCCCAGCTATTTCATTTTATCAACATGTGGCTTTTTAACAGATTGGTTACTGATCCAGATTCAGGACTGTGTTCACATTACTGGGGAGCCATTATTCGTCAACAGTTGGGTCATATAGAAGCCTGGGCAGAAAAACAGGGTTTGGAGCTGGCTGCTGATTGTCATCTCAGTCGGATAGTACAAGTAGGTATTTGAGTATATTAGAAAAAAATAAATTCACAGTCTTTTGAGACACATTCATCAAATTGTATAAGACTGTCTTTAATAAATAGCTTTAGGAAATTAGGAAATCCCCATATTTTTTGTTCAGTTCTGCCATATTATTGACCCAGTTTCTTTCTGTACCATAAACTCTGGTGTTTTTGTTGAAAATTCTTAATTGGATGGAAATGTTTACGCAATATTTAATTGTGGATCTAATTCTTATGAGTAGATTTCAGAATGTGCTATTTAATGTTCAGTCTGTATAGTATATGGGATTCCATAGTGTTTGATTTGTGCCTGATGCTTGCCTTTGTATATTTTTTTTAATAAAAATTTTATTTGGGTTTTCACAAAACATAATACAAGTACAATTTCTTTTTTTGAGAATAGCATGGTCCCGGGTTATCACTTCTCCATACGGACACAAATTCAATTTCATATTCATCTTTGTGTTCTATTCCATGTCTTATTACTATTTTAACATTTTCTCAATAATTTTTCCCTTCCCTTAGTTTTCTCAATCTTACTTTTAATTATCTCATTCCTTTCTAAATTCACTTATATATATCTTTTTCTAAGTTTTGATATCTTTGTAGTCATTATATTTATACTTTTGTCTGTGCTGTTTCAATTCCATATTTTCTTTTCTCATTAAACAAAATTTTTCCCTGTAGTTACTAATTGAAGTATAACACCTTTGTATCTTTTAATTTTTATCCATTCAACTCTTATTTAAGCTTCAATTTATACTTTAAGATTATAACATTCAATGTAACACATAACTTCCAATCGAATTCTGCTTGGTACATTCTTAAAATACACACTATATACTTAAAAAAAATTATATATATGTAACTAAAGCACCCATTCCATTCCAATTCAATTCTATCATTAATATTCATTAAAATCTTAACATCTTTAACATTTATTTTCAATTAAATATCATACTTCCTTGTGAACAGTTATAAACTTTCCATAATTATTTTTTTCCATATTTCTCTTCACTTAAATTTTTATAACACATTTATAATAATTAAAATGTTCCCCTCCTTTCTTAATTTCATTCTCTTATTCCCTTTATTTCATTTATTTATTAAACATTCCATTACATTACAATGAGTATTTTATCTATCATTTTAATCACACTTGTTTCTTATTTTCAAAGTTCATTTCTATTTCTAATATAACAATACTATCTTATGTACCCTTGCAGAATCCCCCTTTCAATTAAGTTTTCACCCATTATCTCTGTGTCTTCTAAATAGGCTTATACTAAATAGGCTTAATCCTTGTACGTTTTCCCTGTTTCTCTATGTCCTGTTTCTGTCCTTGATAATTTCTTTTCCTTTCCCTCTTCCCCCTCTTCTTCTCCCTTCCCTTTTTGACCCCTTGTCTCTCTAATTCTGATTCTCTCTTCTGTAATCCTCTCTTCTGTTTCTTCCTGATGTAATTACTTTTCAAACTATTCTTTTTTGGGGTTGTTTTTTCAGATCTTAAATTTTTCACTCTCTTTCCCCCCTTTCCTTTCTTTTCCCCACATAGAAATACTTGGTCATTGAAGATGGCTTCTTCTTTGTCCCGCCCTTCTTGTTCTACATGCATTTCTTGTTGTTTCTCATAGTTCAGGATCTCAATTTCTAAAAATTGAAATACGAAGCCAAAAGAACCTCTTCCTTCTTGTGCATCTTCTTTCTGTTTTTTAAGTTCCATTCTCAATTCTTCCAAGAGTGATACCATTTTAAAAACTTTTAAACAACCACCCGATTAATTTTAGTCCTTTAGATCCAATAGCCAAAAATCCAAAAATCACCAAGTAATCCAAATAATCCAAAGCTGTTTCTTCTTGCTTCTTTTTTCTACTTTCTCTTCCTGGGGTTCTCTTATCTTGTTACAAAGTTTCAGTTAAAATGTTTCTTTTAGGAATCTTGTTAAAGTTTCACTGTTAATTCCTTTCACTTCCAGGTGGTCTCCTCCATTTTTCCAGATCTCACCCTTTTGTTTTTTCCCTTCTTTTAAAAGTTTCTGAGAATCCAGAAATCTTTATCATCCCTTTGACATTTTATTTTCAGTTTAAATACCTGTTAATGTCAAAGTGGATTTTTGCCAGTTTCTTGCTTAAATCTCTTAGTTGTCAATTTAGGGAAGAAAAGAAAAAAACCCAAATCCTTTCCCTTCCCTCTCTCATTCACCGCTTCAAGTCTTCTTTGGGAACAGTGCTGTTCTTTATAGTTCAAATTCCAGGATTCAACCCGGTCAACCAAAACTTTATCTTCTTATCTTCCTCCTGCACATTCTTTTCCGGTCGAGTTCTCCTTTGAGGTGGCCATTTCTGACCACCGCTGCAACCGCCTTCGGGAAGGGGAGTAATGGCCAGCTGGGGAGGAGAGATGCGACTCTCCTTCACCCTGCTGGCAGTCTCCCCCCTCTTCACCACCTCTACGGGGTGGCTTAGCTCTGAAACCAGCCGGCTCGGGGCGCTCCAGCGGTGAGCACAGATCGAAACTGCGCACGATCGCAGATTTCGGTCTGTCGCCGAAGAAGCTCAACCGGAAGTCCTTCATTTGCCTTTGTGTATTCAGAACTGTTGGGACAGTTTGTCTAAGTATGGCTGGTTTTTCTGTGCAGTTTTAAAGGGGTGGTCTGAAAAGTTGAAAAATCTAGTAAATTTCATAATGTTACTGATTTTTGGTTCTTCTAGACTAGACAGTTTTAGGCCTTGGATTGTACTTCATATTCTGTTCTGTACTGTATTTCGATTTCATTGTGCAAAAGCTCTGCTGATTCTAAATTGATGTATGCTTTTGGTAATTGGTTGGATAAGTCTATATAGCATACTTTGTGACATCAACATTTTGTACTATTTCAAATTATTTTGTAATATTATTTTATAATATTTAATATGTTATAAGGATTCATGGCTTGGGGAGGGGGTTGGACTAGAAAACCTCCAAGGTACCTTCCAGCCGTGTGATCCTATGATTCTATTTTTACTATGCAAACAGCATGAAATGATTTCTGACAAAGCCCCTTCTTTCTTTCTGCAACTGTCATTTTTAAGTTATGGATGGAAGTTTCTGGAGGCATTGTTTTTCTTCTTTTTCCTCCCAAGTGGAGCTGTCTTGATATTTTTCTGTTAGTGCAGAAATTTGCATCAGAGCTTTTCTGCATGGCTAGTGTTTTTGAACAATATAACTAAATCCTACTGGCTTTTAATACATGCACAGTGCAGAGATAAAATAGTTTCCTGGCTTGTATTTTAGTGTCACAGGATGGCAGCTATCTGATACATTACTGACACAGAGGTAGAAGCCATTATAACCTAGGCAGGAAAATTTCCTTTGTTTCTTGTCAGTCAGAACTCAAAGAAACACACATCCTTGGTTGTTGCTAAACTGAATCTTTTCAAACTCACTTCATGTTTTGGTGAAGAATGTGGGAACTTTTGATAAAGGAAAATAAAGAGATCTTGCTATTTAGCAAAGGGAAATCATGCAGCACAATTTTCAATGTGAATACAGTATTAGTGCACAGACACTTTGAAAATCGTTTCCTGTTGGGTCTGTCTTCTGGCAACCAGAAAGGATATGGTAATCTCAAGTTCTATTTATTGTTCCATATATATTTAATAAATGATAAGATGGGATGCTGTGCAGCCAAGTGCCAGCTTCAAACATACTTAATTTTAAAAATGTCTCTTGACCTCTCATGGCCCTCATAAATTAGGAGATCTATCTCTTTTGGATGTTCTATTTTATTGACTATTTATTTAAATAGACATTTGATGTATATGATGTTTATTACATTCATATTTACAATCATATTTTGTGAACCACTCTTATTAACTACCTTTTGGATGAAAAGAGAATTTTTTAAAATCATAAACGTGAACTATATGCAAAGTTGGAGTTACTTGGCTTATAAAAATTTCCTTAAAACAATTTTCAGTATAAATTTGCCTGTCAAATTTCCATAGAAATGTGGTGATACACTTTTAATTTAGCTTGGAATGAATATATACTATACGTCTTGCAGTTCATTCCTAAACAAACACAAATGATGGGGAACAAACAAAACTCAAGCATTTTTGATGATTAGGTTTGTGATGTGTAATGTTAAACCAATCCAAAGTGGATCTACTTATAATCATCTTTTTTTTCTAGGCAACTACATTACTTACTATGGATAAGTATTCTCCTGAAGACATTCCTAATATTAATAGTACCTGTTTTAAACTCAATTCTTTACAACTGCATGCATTGCTACAAAACTATCACTGTGCCCCAGATGAGCCATTTATCCCACCAGTAAGTTAATCTTATTTTTAAATTTGGGACGGGTGGGTGATTGAAGGGCATTAAATAAAATACAGTGGAAATTATATGGCAGTGAATGAAAACTTTTTTACTTAAGGAAGCTAATACTAATATTGAAAACATAGTTTTTAGTTAGTGAGGGTTTTTTATTGTGTGCATGATACTTTTCTTTACAAAGAATATATAGGTAGGTCTCACCTACTGCAATTGGGGTTGGCAATTCTGTCATTACGTGGTACAGATGTTAAATGAAATCTGAGATGTTACCAACTTAAGACATCAATGCCAGCTGCTTATTAGGCCAATCACCATGGGTCATTAAGTACACTGCCATCTGATCACAAGTTATGACTTCCTGCCAGGTTCCCCACTGACTTTGCTTGTTGGGAACCAGCTGTGAAGGTCACAAATGGTAATTGTGTGACTGAAGGATGGTGCAAACATTGTAAATGTGGATTGCTTGCCAATTGTCCAAATAGCAATCATGTGACCTCAGGGATGCTGCAGTGGCCACAACATTAAGGGCAAGTCATAAGTTTGCCTTTTTACATCGTTGCTTTGAACAGGCACTGAACAGGTGGTCAGTAAGTGAAGACTAACCGTAAAAAAAAATAAAAGCTTGTCTCTGAATTATGTATTCACTATGGTACATTTTACATAGTACATTTTACTATGGTACATTTTACAAGGTCAGAAACCTTTTAAATATGTACAAAATTAGAGCTATTTGAGGAGATGTTCCAGAGCAACTGTTACATCCAATCTGAATATATATTCTGTGCTAAGTAAAGAGTTCTCCATAGTCATGTTGTTATTCTAGTTCTGCTAGCTTTTGTTGATTAGATGGCTATTCTCTGTTCAGAAGATCTTATGGTTCTAAAATTTGGAACTTTATTTCTTATTTAATGATCCAATGCTTATTTTTTCAGCTTGTATTTTCTGACACTGATATCCTCACTTAACAACCATTTGTTCAGCTGTTGTTTGAAGTTGCAATGGCATCAAACAAATAGAGAGTTATGACCAGTCCTCAAAGTTAAAGCCATCGCCATGCCCCTGTGATCAAGGATTAAAATGTAGAGGCTGCCAGGAGATGTGTGGGGTCCTCACCGGACAACAGTGTGCAGCCAGGACTTCTGCAATTACCATCACTAAGTTATACAGTCACCTCAATAGCAATGAAAATTCTGAACCCAAGGATCATTAAACAAAGGCTATCTGTATTTAGTCTATCCGTTTCCTTGAACAATCACTAGAACAGTGATTATAGCCTAAATATTTTCTTCCTGATATTTAACATTCCTGAAATATATCTTACCAAATGAATTACTCTTGGTCTCTGAATCAATTAATAACATGACTAACTCCAGAAAGCAAAAATGTAGAATTCCCTTGCCTTGATTTCCATGTATAATGTTGTGTATTTTTCTCTTTCCACCAGGAATTAATAGAAAATGTGGTAGCTGTTGCAGAAAATACTGCTGATGAACTAGCTCGTAGTGATGGTAGAGAAGTACAGTTAGAAGAGGACCCTGATCTTCAGCTTCCTTTTCTTCTCCCAGAAGATGGTTACTCCTGTGATGTTGTCCGAAACATTCCAAATGGATTACAGGAATTTTTAGATCCACTCTGCCAAAGAGGTTAGCTTTTTTTAAAGCTTGCATTTATGTAGAAATTACATGTCAGCCCTCCCAGGTAAACCAGACAGGAAACATGACTAGATGAGAGCTAAATCTACTTTGTTTAAAGGCTACAGAACCTTGAAAGTCTGAAGGTACAAACTTTCCACCACCACTTTTAACAGTCTGGTCAATTAGGGTAGGTTCTTCCTAAGTTTCATTCCCTGACAATTAAGCAATTGCAGGCTCCTTCCCTTCTTGACTGAATGTTTCCTAGCAGCATCTCTTTCTCTCATCCCCAGCAATCATCCACACATTCCATTATCCAATTTGTTTTAGTGCAGTGATATTTTTATGTCATCCTGAGATCCATCTTTACACAGTTTTAGTTTCTTGTGCTGGTTAATGGCTACAATAAAGTAATTTATTTATACTTTTAGTGCCTGTTTTGTCCAGTACTTTTATTACTCTGTTGTACATTACCCAAAATCTATGGTTTGGTATAGGTTATAATAAATGCATTTACCAAATGGATGCCCAATATTTTTTTTAGTAATGAATCCTTTATGGCAGGGGTGTCAAACTTGTGGCTCACGGGCCAGATGCATCATGTGCTGGCCACGCTCACCCCTGGTTTAGCAAAGGGGAAAAAAGTTCCGATACGTGATTTGATGTCAACATGATGACGTGAGTTTGATACCTCTGCTTTATGGAATAAGTTTTTGGAGGTTTATCTAGTGTTCTAATTAACTTACTTGAGCATAAATAAAAGTCTTGTTATCCATTAACTTTTTAATTTAGCTTTTTGCAGGTTAACACCTCATCCACGCTCACCAGGAACTTGGACAATATATTTTGAAGGTGCAGATTATGAGAGCCACCTGTTACAAGACAATGCAGATTTGGCAAGTATTCATATTACAAGAGAGACAACAGAAATATATATGTTAAACTATGCAATGGAATATGAGATTTGTACTAATGTGCATCATAATGAAACATTTAAAAATTAGAATGTAGGATTTCCCAACTTTTTCTTACAGTGGAAAAAAAAGCAGTGCTAGAATAATTAAGACAGCAGGATAACGTCGATGTTAAAAAAAAAAAATCAAAAGTATTTCTCAGGAAGTGCTCTAGCCAGTTCTCAATATTTTGTCTTTATTTTGTTTCATCAGGCTCAGCCACTGAGGAAAGAACCTGAAATAATTACTGTAACACTAAAGAAACAAAATGGGATGGGACTAAGCATAGTTGCTGCTAAGGTACTAAATGATTTTTTTTTAAAAAAAAGTTTTCACTAATGCTGGTATTAGAATAACTATTTTATTTTTTGGGCAGCTGCTTTTCATTACAGATGAGACCCAGGAGGGGTGTCTCTATCTTAATAAAGAGGCTGGCTGGTATGGGAGCATGTGGTGATGCCCATCATGATATTTCTTGCTTTCTAAAGATAAAAGGCAATGCAATCTCACTAGACTTTTCTGTTAGATGTAACTGAAATCTGTTAATATGAGAGAAACAGGGAGTTTCCCATATGGAAAAAATAACAAGTGCCATATATTGTATGGCATAACTTTTTTCCACATGAGAAGAGCCTTTCTTAATTCTGAGACACTCGCAGACCAGCTTGTTCTTTACCTCACAGATGACTAAAGGTAGAATACCAAAAGCTGAAAATCACTTAAAGATGCAGAATGGCTGCTCAGGTGAATGGGCACAAACTTAAGCTTCCCAAGCTTCCATGTGTCTAAGCTCAATACAACAGGATTGTTTGGACACTTGGTTAAGATCAGCAGTTTTTTCTCTCAAACAAATATCTGTTTTGTCTTTCTTGTTTCCACTGCCCCTAGCAAGTGGAAACAAGAAAGTGGAATTAGAGACAGTTTTTGTTGATGTTGCACCTGGAAGTTGAAACCCTCGTCAATTTAGATAAAACATGAATTGATGATTATAGATTAGAAACTCATCCTCCCTCAAATAAAATAAAATCAGGAAGAAAACAACAAACTAGTTCCATATTGTTGTCAAGAAACCAAATGGATGTGTTCATCAGATTGTATTCAATTTACTAAAGGCTTTACTTTTAATGTATCTCATTGGCTATACATCTACATTGTCCTAGCAAGAAAGGTGTGCTTGTTGATTTTCAAGTTTGTAGCAATCTGAGTGTAATAAAGTAAATTCTTGACTCAACAGTTTTCACCCAGCAGATGGTGCACTGCTCCAGTATTGAAAAATACTAAATTCATGTAACTAAAAATAAAGCACCCCCAATTCAATGTGCTGTTTGAAACTTCATTTTTTAGATATATTCTGTAAATGTATTTTTATTTATGGGTATTTTTATTTATTTATATCCCAAGTTTTATGTATACAATGTTTAGCTCCCAGAGAAAAGATGGGATATAAATCTAATCAGAAAATAAATAAATAGCAAATGAACAAATAAAATTTCTTGTTATTGATTTTTAAGTTCACATGGATCAACTTGGTCTGATATTTATTTTTCTTAAACAGTATGTAAATAATTTCTAAATGTTATTTTGGCAGTGATATTGCTTTTGTGCACCACTTAAATGAATTTGCTATTTTTTTGTCTCAAAATCTATTGATTCACTGAACATTTGGCATTAAGGTGCAAATAGAATACATTGTAAGGTTATCTCTGACTTCTAAGGGTGTTTGGTTTTGAAGAGTTCCTAGTGTAATTTATTAACAAATGAACAATTTTACTAGCCTTTTTGAAGCAAGACAAAAATTAGCTTGTGGAATGAGACAATGGAACAAGCTATAAGCTTGATACGTTATTCTGTTCTAGGCTCCCTAAAATTTCTATTAATCTGATTAATTGATTAATTTTTGTTTATTTATCAAGAAGCAGGTTTTGGGAAAGAATCAACAGGGAGTCAGGACTGTTTTTCTCTTGTAGCCAAGATTCCTTTAGTAGAGAATTAAAGCTTAGTTAAAGTAACCTTAGTAGATGAGAAGTACATTTTTCTTTTATAATTTTAATAGGTTTAATGTATAATCATCTTAAGTATTTTAAATGGCTCTTAAATGTTCTGTAATAAAGAGTTGATAAATATAAACTTTCTGCTAAAGAGATGGTACTTTTAGGTACTATTATCTAAAATTAAAGAAGAAAAAAATGGCAAAGGGATGTCATTGGTCTTCATATATTCTGTAATGGCATTTTAGCAGTTGAGAAGTATCTGGCAATTTGAAATTTTTGATTTAGTGCCTTGTCGTCGACTAACCAAATGCAAATATTTGGCTGCTTTTTAAAACAAATTTCTGAACTAATCAATTTTTTAATAAATTCAATCACTACATCACTTTTATGTTTGGAATAGTGAGATTCTACTGACACTGCTAAAGAAGACTATATTTCTAATTCATAATATTCCTGATATAATAACTACAATACCCAATCACTTTTTAGTTAATGGGGATTAACCAAATCTGTCATTAATGGTGAATGACAAAGATGTGGTATTGGATCAAGTGCCTAACAGGCCAGCTATGTTTCTGTTAGCATATTGTTTACAATATTGGCAATCTATATGAGCATAGCCATTCTGAGCTGAAGGGCAATAGTTATAATTCCAGTCTGTTCTGAGTGATTTCCTCAGAATTGTTCACTGTTGCTGTGATGATTTCTAGTGGCAAACTAGTTGGTGACACTTAGATGGTTGTGTACCCATAATAGTACCAAGAAGCACACTTTGGGTGGCAGAAATTGGATTATTTGGGGTTCAAGGATAATAATGCTCTGAGGGTGAGGCAAAATTTAGTAGTATTATGTCTAAAATGTGTTTTGATGTTAAATGCTGCTTAACTTCCAACCACACTATGGTTACATTTTATGAAATCCAGATGAGTTGGAAGCAGTGTGTGCATGCAGTTTACTTTAGAAATATATTACTTGGGGGAGGAGGGAGGGAGGGGAGGAGCTAGCATTTTGATTTCTTCAAATCTGAGAGCCAGCACTTTACTTCCTGTTTAATTTGGATTTTCTATATCTTGTACAATCGAGTGATTGATTTTTTTCTAGGCAGTATCTTTTTTTAATAAAGCTTTTAAATGAAAATCAGAGTAGCAAAGCTGTGTATGATTTGGACTATTATATCGATTGTAGCTAGTGTTGATAGATGTTATGCAGCATCAATTCCTGGCCAAATTATCCTGCTGGGTGTTTTGGAAAATCTAGCAGACTGAAAGTTGTGGTTAAAATCTAAGAAACAAGTGAGGAGTTATATTTTCTGGAGTTATAATGTGGTTTTCAGTCGTTGGAAGAACAGAATCCTTGGTAAGTCTCTACAGAGAAGGTTTCCTTGTAAACTTATAGTTTTAATATTCTTCCTAATCTTCTATTTAATCTAAAATTGTTAGCCAAATGAATTTTTAGAGCACTCTTTTTATAACATTACTATCTATTTGAAGCTATGGCATTACAAAAGCAAATGAATTTGTACATGAAGCTTGTTCCTATTATCTGATATGAAATGAAAAGTACAGTGGCAGGATTTTATTTCTGTAACTTGTAAGTAACCATTATTATATTAAGTTTGAAAGATCAGATCTAATTTAAGCACTTTTCATGTTACTTGATAAAATGGAAGTGCATTTAAATCCTGGATATACAAAAATTGAATAATTTGACATTAATAAATAAAAGAACAGACTGCAATGTTCCCATTTCATAAATTTTCATGTGAGTAAAATAAATGTTGGCATCATTTTGATTCTGATGTTAGAAATCATGACATTATTTGATTCTGATGTTAGAAAGCAAAAGTATTTTAAAATGTCTTAACAGGTTATTTAATAGATTGACAACCAATTTTATCTGATCACATTTGCTATTCTTTGTTTTCAGTTGCTTTTACATAGAAAGGGTGAAGAAAAAAAGAAAAAAATCAGTTTAAAATGATTGAAATTGTAGAGAAAAGCGGGGTGGGTAGGGAGGAATTAAATGGGAAACTTGAAAATTATTTTATATTTAATAATCTTTAAAAGCCAAACAAAAAGGCTTAACCTTATCTGTGCTGTGTGTGTGTGTGTGTGTGTGTGTGTGTGTGTGTGTGTGTGTAGATGTCTATCTGTCTCCTGTGTATTTTTATGTATGGAACAGTATAACTAGGAAACAGCATAATGTTAGGCATGCTTATTTGTAGGCATGTGTATATATACCCACAATAATTGTGTTTAATATTCACAGCTGAAGCCCTATTTTTATTCCAATTCATAAAAAAGATACAATTGCACTTGACTTCTAAACCTTCCCTCTTTTTAAAGTGCTTGATCCCATTTAATTTTCTTTAAAGTAAGATTTGTCTTACTTTTCCTTTCAATTTGTCTCACTTAAAATTTTCAGTTACTATTACATTCTGTTTAGTAGCCTCTCTCAAATAACATATAGAAGCTGGAAATAAGAGTATTTAATTACTTTTTTTATCTCGGAGATAAGTGACAATTGTACACACACTTGGGGGAAGCAGATAAATTCAATAGATAGAAATAAGACTTTCCTCAAAATTTGTAACATAACCACTCACCAGAGGGAGGAGGCAGGTCATTTTCACTGGAATTGCTTCCTCTGTACTCCCTTTCATCATCTAAAAACTACCTATACTGTACAGATTATTAGGAAGAAATAGGAAATTAATAAAATAATATCTAATAGAAGAATCTTTACCATTTATAAGGAGCTATTATGAATAAATTTGATTGTGTTTTGGGATATATCAGGACTTTATAAATGTAGTGGAATTATATTTTTTTCTAGTTTAGTTCTGGAGGGAGTAATTTTTAAAAACCTTTACAACTGGTTTCTTTGTAGCTTGAATTGCTGAGTGTTCATGAAAATATTTTTTTCATTGCAATATTAAAACATTCCTCTGGCTATTAGCTTACTAGCTACTTGGAATTCATCTCCAATGTTACACATGAGATTTCTAATTATGAGTATTAACCTTGTTCTACTCTGCCCACTCCACTGCAACTGAGTTAATTAACGTTTACCACGCAGTATTTCCAATGAAAGGGATAAGGCTGTTAAGCTTGTGCAATATTGTACTTTGGATTTGATGACAAAAATCATTTTGTAGGATGTAGAGGTGCTCATATCAGCAACTCTTTAAAGTACTGTGAGCTTTACCAGGATTGTTGTGATGCACTACTCTTCAAATACAAAATGTTCCCTATTTCCAATAAAGTACTGCAGAGATAATTCTTCATTGATCTTCAAAGAATGCTGCAGGGAACTCTTTTCTCCTTATATGCTTATTAAATACTGAGTTTTGTGTAATTCTGCAGGATCATCTTTTTATTGTACTCACCTGAAATGTCAAAATGTTTAAGGAAAGCAGAATCTTATTCTGATTGAACATTATTTTAAATGAAATGTGAATCTACAAAGCATGATGGGAGTTGATATATTCCAGTGGTAACAGCTATTAGAAAACCTTTAACGAATAGATTAATCTTGTGGCTGTGAGTAACTTCTCTGTGAAAATGGTCAACCCATTCATCATCAGAGTTGGTTCAGGTGATTTACTTGCTCCCTTTCTTCTCCACCATTGCACAGGTGTCTTTCCCAAAGCTGTATACTCTGTGGAAAAAGACAATCATCACAGACAACATATACCATTTTTAGACTAAATGCATTCAGAGTTTTTTTTAACTTAGAAACATTGTTAGAAACATGTACATAGGTTGTCTAAGCTCCTCAGACTGTCAGGAATTAAATGTTTGCATTGGCCTCTACTGGAGGAAGGATCAACTCTATTGCAAATGCTACTATTTGCACCTCAGCTTCTGTAAAGGAAATTTCTCATACTTGATGTCCATAACCAAAAGAATAAAAAATACAGTACAGTTAGTTGCCAAAGGTCTGACTTAAGTGCAGGTAGTCCTGTTGGCTATGGACAACGTTGGCTCCCTCAGCTAAGAAATTGAGATGAACACTGCCTACTAGAGTTGGATATGACTGGACAGGGGAAATCATTACGTTTAGGAATAATTTACCTTCAAATTTAATAGACTGACTTCCAGATATGCAATTTCTTTCATTCCAATCTGAAATACAAAAACAGCAATAGTGGCTATCCTTGTTAGAATAAAATGCTTTATACATATGGTACTTGAGATGGCTTTATTACTGACATTGAGATGATGCATAAGATGATGGTAAATTCTATAGAAGTGTGTAAAATATTGCTGGAAGGAATATACCTCTCCAGACATTGCTAGCTTGATTTCTCACCATCAGTCATTGTTAAGCAATGCTACTTATTTTACTTTGTTGCTAAAAATGTGTTGTCTTCTGTAGTGTGTTATAGTAAATGCATTATATTCTATAATACATTTATAGTTAAATATATTTCCTAAGATTGCTTCAAAAAATTACACTGTGATCCATTCGATGGATATTTGTAAATAAGAGAATCTAAATCAGTTAGACCACTCTTATAAAATGTCTTTATGATTATAGCCTTAGCATTTATTTATTTTTTAAATTGCTTCATATCTTTTTAGGGTGCTGGTCAAGATAAACTTGGCATCTATGTCAAATCTGTGGTAAAAGGTGGTGCTGCAGATGTGGTTAGTATTATTTGTAATTATTGTAAAAAAAATTGTTTAGTGTTTTAATTTCAAATATTTCTAAACTGCATGAAATCTGTTTTCATGTCGTGAAATAATGGAACTCTTACTTTGTCAAATATGTAACCAGGATGGTCGATTGGCTGCAGGGGATCAGTTGCTTAGTGTGGATGGGCGCAGTTTGGTTGGACTTTCTCAAGAAAGGTATATCATACTCTCTGGAAATTGTAAACATAGTAGCAGAGATTTGTACATGATGTAAAACAGGTGTGACTTGTTTGTTTTCTGTATTTTTTCTTCTTACCTAGTTTATGTTTCTCCATCATAGCTCAATATATTATTACTCATACCACAAGGACTGAAATGAATCATTTTCACGCAGAACATTTTTAGTATAGATATATATGGTAGGGCCTAGAATAACTTGCCGCAGCCATTTCGTTGTGCCCATCTTGCGGCGGCCAACTCACCAAGGGACAACTCACCATAGCTAACTCCATGTGGGATAACTCAATGTTATAAATGTTATCCATCACTGTTTCTTTGACATTATTTCTTTGTCATTATTCTGACAATAATGTCAAAGAAACAGTGGAGGATAACATTTATGGTATTGAGTTATCTCACATGGAATTGCCTGCAGTGAGTTATTCTGCGGCAACTTGGCTGCAGCGAGTTGGCCACAGTGAGATGGCCGTGGGGAAATGGCTGCAGTGAATTGTCCCATTCCATCCATATATGATTGTGCTTAAAACGTGAACCCTTTTGATTTTTCAAATTATACTTCCTCATTTATTATGGAAAATGGTCCAAAGCTACCCTACAAATTTCTGTCTAACAGAAGTATGTGGGCAGCAACTTATTGTTTCCAGTGTCTTTTAATCACCTTAACCACTACATTAAGATTTCAATAGAATTTACTGGTACAATTCAAAATTTATATTCCATCAATGATGGCAAGCCATTTCTGTCCAGAGGTAGCAAAGCAGGCTTAAACTGCTTTCATACTGCCACTGTGTGATTCTGGCAGTTACTCCAATTAAATCATGAGCCTTGAGCCACTCTCCCAAAATTTCACTGTCACCCTTGATCCTGTTTCCCCACCCCCCCACCCCTCTGGGTATATCATCCAACAAAAAACGTCCATAGCCAAGAGTCATCAGTCATGCTCTCCAATTAGATTTTTTTGAGGCAGAAGCTTCAGCCATCTAATCAGTCTTTGAAGAAAATATGAACAGAATGTACTTTCGATTTCACAGTGTTGCCTGCTCTTTGAAACCCCCCCACCCTCTTTCTGTTGTCAACTATAAAACATGTACACAAAATGTTTTATGAGTTGACACTATGTTTTACACATGGAGTAAAAATTCGTATGATGGAATACAATGTTTATCTTTAGCCAAACATAATGCTTTTTATTTAAGCCAAAAAGTTCTATTTTAGTCTCATCCATCCATAGAACATACTTCCAATAGGTTGGCTTTTCCACAGGGTCTTTCACAAACTGTAGGCAAGTATCAGTGTTCTTTTTTGAGAATAGTGGCACCCTTGCAACACTTCCATGCATGCTATTGTTATTCAGTGTTCTCCTGATAGTGACTCCTAGGATTTGAGTGGGAACTCAAGGTCATAGGTCATATTTATGAAAAAATAATTAAACAACAAAAGGGTTCACAAACTTTTAAGCACCATTGTAGCTTGCAGTATTTCTGGAAGTTATAAAATGAATAAGATATAACATTACTGAGTAATATACTTGAGCATTGTATTGCAGATTGTAGTATCACTATTAGAATTTTAAGGACAATTAAACAAATTGTAACTTATTGGATCATTGTTTCATTTTCTTACCTAATAAAGAGAACAGAATGACAACGTGAGCAAAAATACAGTGGGAATGGGAGCAACTTCTGACTTCCTGTTGACTTCCCCGTTGATATTCCTTGTGGGAAGCTGGCAATGAGCATCAGAAATTGCCCTTTCCCTTCCCTTCCCTTCCCTCCCCTTCCCTTCCCTTATGAAGCAGCATTTAGCTCTGTTCAAAACAGATACAAACATTTCAGTAGTATATAAATAAGTTCTTTTTTCTGGGTTATGAAAAAGATATGGCATAATCCACTTGTTTTTACTATGATACTCCTTATAGAACCCAAAGGGCCTCACTAGAACTAAAACATAGTGCCAAAAAATCAGTTCTTGTTCCTAATGTGCAAATACCATTGTTTATAAATGAGTCTTAGGCACATAATTATGGCAAATAAAAAATTAATATTTGATTTCAGGTGGTTTGTACTCAAATATTAGAAAATTTTATTTAGATATGGAATGGAACAAGGCTTTTCTGTTTCTGTTTCAAACTTGTTTCAGGCAGAATTTTTGGGACCAAAGGGAAGAGCACAGAAAAGTGCCAAAGGCATCAGTAACTATAGCTGAAGGCAGACAGGAAAGAGAGAGAGAGACAGGAAAGAGAGGGAAGATCAAGAGATGCACAGGCTAGTGAAATATTCTAAGCAACAGAAGTGAGAGAAAGTATGCTTTGTACTTCCTTGCTAAAATTATTCCAGGGTCCTTGGAAGTTTTGCTTTGGCCAAAACCCAAAGCGACAAGAACATTCTGATTTTTTTTCCTGCTAAACTTAGCCAGATAGAAATTATTTGCTAAAATGACAAAATTATTTACTAGGATTTAATGTGTTTCTTATGTTTCTTTTCTATTTTATAAATGGTTCTATGGGATTCCTTTAAATAGTTTATTTATATCTATTGTGTACATTTTTCTACTGACTAAATGCTTCGAATTTGCTCTACAATAATTTGTTATTACTGGTTCTTGCAAACTCACCATTTTATTTCCAAATCTTACTCAGAGCCGCAGAACTGATGACAAGAACAGGATCAGTAGTCACACTAGAAGTGGCAAAACAAGGAGCAATTTACCATGGTTTAGCAACACTGTTAAATCAACCATCTCCAATGATGCAAAGAGGTAAACAACTAAAATACATTTGTCCACAGATAAAATCTACATTAAAAATTAATATAAAAATAAGGCATATTCAAGTACCTAGCATGTGATCTGATATGCTAATTGTTCTCTCCCTCAAGAAGGTTAAATGACCTTCTAGACCTAGTTAAGTTCTGCTCTAAGCAATGATATGGAATTGGCTTGCCACCTCCTTTTTCTAAGATGTTTTTTCAACGTTCCAGATTAGCGTACTACTGGAGAATTTTCCAGTGGTCTCCATTTGGTACAAAAATCCTGGAAAGCTTTTTCAGGATTAACCTGCTACTATCTGCTTTTGAACATCCATGAGAGGACTTGCAAGTATTACTTTCCAAGCACCTTATTGTTTACTCTTAAAATCTTACAGAATTCAATGGGATGCTTAGAATTAATTCAATGGGATGTTTAGCATTCCATGTAGGATTGCCCTCTTAATTGAGTGGGATTTATATCCTCAGAATAATAACAACACTCTTTTCTCAATTTGTTGTTCTTAAAAGGGGATTATAATGACTTGATGAAAAAGTAGAGATTTGTGGTGTAAAGCAATTTGAATGTTAAGAGGTTTTATATAAAGATGTCTGTTTTTTCTAATGATCTTATTTGGTATAAAATTAGTCTGAAGTCCATTTGTGTAGTCTACTACTGTTGGTGAATTTTAGCTGTTCTTGAAACTCTCAATGATGTTTTCTAACTATAGAACATGGTTATAGTTTTAGTAAGAAACTAGGAATTATAACCTGGAGCATTGTGTAGGTAGTATAGACTGAAGAAAGTATAGAGCATTCCATTTGAGTTCTATAGGACTAGGAAATCCAAGCAAATTTGTAGCTAATTTTTTTTTATCTGCCTGACTCTACTTACATGAATTTTGCTTTTTGAAACTGTACATATGAAAAAGGTTAAAGAAGAATTTAGAAATGGGGTCTCTTCTAGCTTCATTGCAGACCAGACAAATTATTATGTCTCTGTGTCTGTCCCTCTCCGTCTCTCCCTCTCTCTCATACACATTCATTGTTCAGTTTCAGATCGTCGTGGCTCAGGTAAACCCCGTCCAAAGAGTGAAGGTTTTGAGCTATATAACAATTCTGCTCAGAATGGATCACCTGAAAGCCCTCAGATGCCTTGGACAGAATATAATGAACCAAAGAAATTACCAGGGGATGATAGACTGCTGAAAAATCGAGCTGATCACCGATCTAGTCCCAATGTAGCAAGTAAGCAAGCATCAGCTTACAACTGTTTTTGTGAATTAAGACCTGAAATAAGTCTAAACATTGGAATTTATATAACTATCATATAAATTAAATTATTAAAAATGAAATGTATTTTTGTATTAATTATTTAAATAATCTATATGGCTGCGCCACTCAAACAATGACCGTGGATGCTGCATTCGGTATTCCCAGTATGTTAGACTCGGGAACAAATTTAGATGAATAATTACATTCATAACCACCACCACCCCCAAACACACACACACACACACACACACAGCACACACACACACACACACACACACACACACACACACACACAGGAAATCAAAGCCAAAGGGAAATATCCAAATTTTATTTCGCTTCTGAAGATTGACAGGGTTAGGGCCAGCCACATCTTATGGGGGAGACTGTTCCGAAGGGTTGGCACCACGGTGGAAAACATCGCTAAAGAAGAGCTAATAAGTCCTGTGGGCCTTGCTTTCCTTGTTTGAATGTTGATTTTACATTTGTTAACATTTAAATCTCTTTGCTCTCAATAGATCAGCCTCCAAGTCCTGGGACCAAAAAGGTTTATACTGGAGGAACTACAAATAAGATAACTTCAGTGTCTACTGGAAATCTTTGCACAGAGGTTAGAAGTACTGAAAAAAACTTTACCTGTGAATATTTATAAAAATGCTTGATATTATTTTTGACATCTATAAATGATATTTCTATATTTACACAGGAACAGGTACTACCAGCTAGACCTGAAGCATATCCAATTCCAACACAAACTTATACCAGAGAGTATTTCACATTTCCAGCCTCCAGGTCTCAAGATCGAATGGGTCCCATTCAGAATCAATGGGCAAGTTATGAAGAAAAGCCCCAAATTCCTGCTGAAAGTAATCACTATATCAATAGTGCAAATCAGGTTAGAAATAATTTGCTTCATCATATTAGTAGTTTGGAGATTGTAGATAGAATAAGAATTATAACTAGGACTGGTCTAGTATTACATTGTTTTAAAAATACCTTCATATTTTATCCAATTTTACTGTCTCTAAAATATAGTATTTGGCCAATTTCTAGACTAGAATCCTACACTCATTTATATTGTATTTGAAATCTGCTGCTTGTTTGTATTGTTCTTAAAAAGCTGTCAATTTATATTTAGAATTGATGGTTGAAATACAGAAGTCTGATATTTTGTTAAATCACATTTAGAGCTTTTGAGAAAAAAAATGACTGTATAAGAATAAGTTAATTTTTAACAAGTGTAGAATGCCTGGTTTGTCTTTGTTTTTTTTCTAAATGTCCAAGACATTACTAATCTGTCAATGAATTTTAATATGTGCATTGTATTCATTGCTTTTGGACTAATAGAGCATAAGAAATACATTCATTGAAAACAAAGCATTTTTAGGTCATAATGAAGGTCTTTGAAAGAGAAGTACAGAAATGTTGCTTTTGTTCATAGCTGCCAGCTCTTCTGCCTGGTCTGTTTTGTACTTAAAATAACTTGTAGAAGTACACAGCAAAGTTTGTAAAGCTTATAAACAGATTAGAAATTTTCAGGTATGTGGTACATTATTATTATATTTCTATATAGCAGTTGTATTTTGTATTTAATACTGCAGATCTTTGCAGTTAGCAACACAGTATATTTTGACACTGTAGCATTTAATAAGGAATTTATACTGCATTTAAATAATTTTCAGCATTGCAGAAACTAAAAAAATGAATAGGAGATTAACAAATAGTTAATGAACAAATAGTTCCTTTTTCTTTGCAATATATTTGTGTGTGTGTGTAATTTTAATAAAAGTTGCCAAAGCAATGGGGGGAATGACAGGTTAGTTATTCATGTAAGCTCTTAGACCTAAATATTTCTTGGGAGCACAAGCTGTAAAAGTGATAATAGTTTGGCATTATTCTGAGGAAAAGCCTGGATTCTGCTGATATTGGACATAGTCCAAGATATTTTCAAAATCTTGTCTCAAGTGAAAAGCTAAATGTAGAGCTTCAAACTTGTAATGTCACTTGTTACAATGCTGATTTTAAGAACAAGTGAATAAGCATTTCATAATCATCGTACAAAGGTAATAAACTGTCATTTAGTTCTTGCTGTATGGCCTATTAATATATGGAAACTAATGTTATATTCTTTTTTTTTTAAGCGTGTAACACGTTCTCAAGAGGAACTGCGGGATAACAACATTTATCAGGCAGAAAGGAATCAATTAGAAGTTGCCATGCAAAAAGATATGGAATATATTGATAGAAAATCAGATAGTGATCCATGGATGAATTCTTCTGTGGATTCTAGCACATCAAGCCAGGAGCATCTAAACAGTTCCTCTAAATGTATCCCCTCTGGATCTTCTTTGACCAAAAGTGGACCTGGCCGTTGGAAAACACCTATAATTACTCAACCAATGTTGCTGGCAGTTTCTCAGTCCACAAGGACAGACTTACCTCCCCCTCCCCCACCAATGCACTATGCAGCTGACTTTGATGGACTGCAAATGGATTTACCTCTCCCACCACCACCTCCACCTGCAAATCAGTTGGGGTCCCAGTCGTCTCAGGTTGCTGCTGCTGCAGAGCGCAAAAAGAGAGAAGAACATCAGAGATGGTATGAAAAGGAAAAAGCACGCTTGGAGGAAGAACGAGATAGAAAACGTCGAGAGCAGGAAAGAAAACTGGGGCAAATGCGTGCTCAGCCACTAATGCCAGCTCAGTCATTGCTTCCTCCTCTTCAGCAGGTGAAACCAGAGAAGCCTTCAACACTGCAAAGGTCTCATGAGACGGTCATTAGAGAATTGCAGCCCCAACAACAACCCCGAACAATTGAAAGAAGAGATCTCCAATATATCACCATAAGTAAAGAAGAACTGTCCTCTAGTGATAGTCTGTCTCCTGATCCCTGGAAAAGAGATGCTAAGGAGAAGCTGGAGAAGCAGCAGCAGATGCATATTGTGGATATGCTCAGTAAAGAGATTCAAGAACTTCAAAATAAGCCAGATCGAACAGGTGAAGAAAATGACCGCCTACGCAAGCTCATGCTGGAATGGCAGTTCCAAAAACGACTTCAAGAGTCAAAGCAAAAAGATGAGGATGAAGATGAGGAAGAAGATGATGACATTGATACTATGCTGATTATGCAACGACTAGAAGCTGAGAGAAGAGTGAGGGTAAAATGAGAGAATGAATTTCATGGGCTAAAATTCCCACATATTGCTAGCATAAATATAGATTAGTTATCACTATAGGATAAAGGAGGACTGGACTCTCATAATGTCCCTGTCTTTCATTGCATATAATGAAGTTGATTATTCTGATTTGTCGATTAAGTGGTGTTGCAAGCTATTACCCAGAAATTGCTAGGGGGAGGTAACCGTCTTTTGAGTTCCTTTTTTTTCAAAAACAAAATCCCTATCCTTATTTTTTTTTATAATTTAAATTTGTACGATACAAATGTAATATTCCAGAACATTAGTGTAGCTTTTTAAATCTTTGACCACTAAAAGCTGTTTTAAATTTGTTTCATCTGTTAGTACATAGCATAATAGGAATTGGAATTTTCATTCCAAAGAGTAATAATTTTGTCTTTATCAGGAAAAATAGCTCTTTAGTAAATCTGCTTTCAAGAATACAGCTTCAAAAACAATCCCATACTTTGAAAAAAAACAACAAATTGTAGAATCTGTATTAGGGGCTATATAAATAACATTGATAAATGATCAAATTATAACAGAAACTTGATTTCAGCAACTTGGGTGTTATTTTTTTACAGCAATTGCTTTCTACTTTATGCTTCTTTTCCTGTTTTTAAAAGCTTTACTCTCCATTGCTGCTTTTAACACATTTTCTTGCTAAATGCATAGCTTTGTTTTTATTTATTTTTAATTTGGTTAACTTTTCTATACTGAAAATTAGGTAGATAAAATGAATGTAACCAACTATACATGGAATTGTTGCTAATTCTGATGTTGCCATTCAGCTTTCTAACCTAACTTTATGGATAAAAATCTACATACTATACAATTTTAAAACATTTCTTCTTCATTATTGAGCAGCTTGACATTACTATTATCAAATTTGCACCATATGCGTTGTTAAACTTTTTCTAAATAGTGCAAAATATATCTTGTATTTGTTGTGCAGAGTTTTAGAGCTCGCATTAGATCTGCTACTTATTAATGATAAATTTAAAGTAATATAACCAGTTGGCCATTTTCCCACAATACTCTGTTCTCTTGATATCGTGTAAATCTTTAAGAACAAATAAATGAATTAACAGAGTATACAGAAAATATTTTTTAAAAATCTCCTTTCCTGATTTATTTTGAGAGATTTGCTAACATAATATTAGACTGTCACACTGACATTTATTTTTATTCAGCTGTAGTAACAAAGAAAATGATTTTGGCATAGTGCAATCTAAATTTATCCTTATTTTCACTGTGCATCTTTCTTTTTCCTTCTCTTATTACCTGCAGCAGACTGCTTTGCCAGCAATCTCTGTTCTAGATTTGGTATGTTCTTATTTCTTTCTCTTTAATGCCTTTCCTTAATACTTTTTTTCTTTTTCTTTTTAATTATTGATAATCCAATGTGCATTGGATATTTGTTTATCTTTAGAGTGCTTCAGGGCAAGGAATAATACATTAAATTAGTGGTAAGCAAAAGATACTTACCTAATGCTTGAGGAATGCTCCTAATTTTTTCTTCTACTTTTCTTTTAAAGTTGTATTCTGTTTGCATATTTTACTTGTGAACTACTATAGTTAACCATATATTAACAATTTAACATATATCAGTAGATTGAAAACATTTTGTACAGGTGGGTTTCCATTGTTCATTTCCACATGCTTTAAAAAAAAAAACTTCCCTACATCATATATTTTAATGTATTTTAGCATTCCAATATATTATTTGTCTTCTTATTCAAGCTTTTGATAATTTGGTATTTACAGTTAGTTTTAATGATTTAGTTTTTGGAATAAACCTTTAGGATTAAACCTTTGAACTTAGATGATTTAAAATATTTTTACAAAAAATATTTCACACTTGTTGTTACCTACACTGATGGAAGAGCAGAACTGTATGTTACACTAAAAGCATCAAAATATATGAATAGTTTTATAATTTCATGATATGTTTTAGCTATTTTATTAACTGAAATCAAAATAAGATGTATTGTACTGATCAGTTTTATTAATCTATTATGACAGAGGTTTTAAATGAATCAGATCTGAGTAAATCACTCGGTGCAATATTCAGTTTCTCTTTCTTAAAACTAATTTTGAGTATTAAACTGAAAACCATAGATACTACAATTCAACAATGTAAAGAGTTTTTGGTATGTAATTCATACTTACTGAACTCAATATATTTCAAAGTGCAATTGATTATGACACAAGAAACCTATCAAATGGAATTATAATTAAAGATTTTACCTCCTTCCGTTTTATAAAAAATACTAATTTAGATTTTTCCCCCTTTAAAATAACACCACTTGGTGCAATGCTTGGAATTACAATATAATTTTAGCTGTTTTAAAAAGTGTGGGACAGAGTCCAGTAGTTCTCCTTTATTCTTTTGTCACACTTCTTCTCACAGGTGTTTAAAGGAGATGATAGTCATTTTTTGAGGAACACTTTTCTGAAAATGTTTGATTTCTACAAGATGTTTAATAATTTGAAATAGCTAGAGATCCTTATTTAATGTGATTAAATATTTGCACTTTAAAGCATGGATTTTCATTACTTTTCCAATTTTACAGAGATTCCAAATGCTCTTTTGCAGTAAAAAAACATTACTATATGAAAAAAGAAATCATAGACAGCTTAAATAACTGATATGTTGGGTTTACTGTCAAGATCAGAGGAATGTTATCTAGTGGGAAAAGAATAGAAGCTCATTGACCATAGTTAGTGCATCTTCCCAGAAGAACTGGTAAAACATAAGAGTTTGAACTATAAAAACAATGTCTCAGAACAGAAATACCTACAAAATCTATAGCATGGGTGTCCAATATTTTAGCTTGCCTGGGCTGCATTGAATGAAGAGGAACTATCTTGGCTGCATATAAAATATATAGTTAATAAGTTTAAAATTTACAATCTTGTAGGGCCTCATTACTAGCTATTCAGGTCCTCATGCAGGCCATGGGCCACAGGTTGTACATTCCTGATGAATATCATTTCTTCAGGAGAAAATTTCCTTTATAAGTTTTTTTCCCAAAATACAAAGAAAATTCCCAAGAGGAAATAATTATTAATTAGCTTCTTTTTTAAAAAAAAGGTTCTTTTGAACAGTAATGGGGATTTTCTTCATGAGATATTATTTCTGTCTTCGAAAGGATCTGAGGTAAAACACAAGATAAATCTTCATTAGTTACAGGATGAAGAGCGCAGACGGCAGCAGCAATTGGAGGAAATGCGCAAACGGGAAGCAGAAGATAGGGCCAGGCAAGAAGAAGAGCGCCGTCGCCAAGAGGAGGAGCGGACAAAGCGAGAGGCTGAGCAAAAGGTTTCACTTAATCTTCTATAATGTTGCATTCTTCACTTAAATTGGTTTGACCCACTGATATTACTAAGTTTCAACAAAGCTAGGAATAGAATTGTCAACAGTGGGTTTTATGGCTCTTAACATGTACGGTATTGAATTCTGTACACTACTTAAAATAAAAAGCAAGCTGACCCTGTTTGTAGATTTGCAATTTAAGGAAAAGAAAAATATATTTCATTATTCTTCAAGAGTCTTTGAGAAGCAGGCAGTATATAAACTAGTAAATGAAATCCAAATAAAATAAAAAGATATAGGAAGCTGAAAGTACAAGAAAAATGTAAGGACCTCAGATATTAAGTATAATGAAAAAAAAAATCAAAATGAAATCCCCTCCAGGAAGTAAGTCTAAAGGGGTAAAATTATTTTTAAAGCAATAAGAATAAAATTAGAAGTTTTGAAATCCTATTTTTAAAAAAGGTAGAAAGAAAAATCTGTCAGATTTAATTCAGAAGAATTAAATGAAGAACTTAATTCAGAAGAAACCATATCCAGTTAGACAATGACACTAAGTGGGTTTAAATAAGTGGGATTCATTAAACAAAAAGGGGAATGGATAGACAGTGGTCTGATCATGAGATGTTTTGGTTGTTAGGAAAAATTTTAAACATGAAGGAATCCCAAGTAAAATATTAGCATATAATATTAATTGTAGTTCATCTTCCCACCACCACCATTTTAATTTTTCATGTCCCTTCCACTTAAGACATATATGATACTGTGTTATACCATTTTAATGATTGAAATCTCATCCATTTTTTCCAAATGATAAATATTTGAATAAATATTGGAAGCTTAATATTAATGAATGAAACTATGGTTAGGCAGCATACTGAACTTCACTATCCTTCAGACTCCCTGCCAGTATTCTTTTAACTTAAAAGAAAAGTGAGGAAGTGACATTGATTGAAAATAAAAAAAGGAGTTACTTGTGTTTTGTATAGAAGTAGACCACTGGCTACCAAGAAAGGCAAAGGTAAGCAGGGCTGGGAAGTGGGTTTTTTTTTTTTTCCTTAGAGGTAGTGATGGAAAGCAACTTCATCATTCTGTTAAATAGACATCTTATGCCTTGTCATGGACACCATAGCTTTGTTTTTTTCAGAGTGGTCACTATCTTAAATATGCTTTATGGCTTAAAAAATACTTAGCCCTCTTTTAAGGAAAACAATGGTATAAGTCAAGCCAAGGTTTAGGAATTAGTCTATAGGAGTGTTCCTTCAGTGGTGTATGTCTTTGTATAAACTCCTATATCCCATTTAAGGAAAGCAAAACATCAACAACAAAAAGACTGTCATTATCTCTGCTCTGCATGTTTAGTAAAATTACTTGTAAAGCTGACCTAAGACTCACTATGTTCTTCCTCCTTGCAACACTTTCTGCATTGCATTTATAATATCCCTCCTGCACTCAAAATCTGTTTCATAGGATTTCCTGCCTCTCAAGAGGCAGTTGGAGAGGGTGAATTTCACCCAAAGTTCAGTATTTAAAGCAGAAAGTGTGACTTTCTTCCTTGATAAAAGAAACAGTTATCCAAACCTTTTCTAATGTGAACATTTCCATGCATGCATTTGGTATTTGACATTTGCTGACATCCTTTTATTCCCTTTGGCTCAACAGAGGCGACAGGAAGAAGAATATTATAATCGCTTGGAAGCAGAGAGGCGCCGCCAGCATGATGAAGCAGAACGGCGATTGCTGGAGCCCGATGAGCCTGGTCTGTACAGACCTCCGCTTCCACGGGAATATGAATTCCCCTCCCCACCCCTTTCATCTAATGCTCCTCCTCCCCCACCTCAACGAAACACTTCTTACCTCAAAACTCAGGTCCTCTCTCCTGATACGATTTATACTGCCAAGTTTGTTGCATACAATGATGAGGAGGAGGAGGACTCCTGTCTAGCAACAGGTCAGAATAAGTACACCAGTACAAGAAAGTCTTGCGGTGACCTTCCTCCTGTCCCCCCTAAGCCACAGCAGCCCTCCCGCCAGCCACGCCCAGTCTCAGATGGTTTCTGTCTGTCCAACTCATGCCAGCCCTCCGTTGTCAATGCCAACAGTACTGCTAACAAAATGAGCCAACCCCCTCCCCCATTACACAAGCCAAGTTTCATCAATCCCAGCAACACAAAAGGTAGACGGAATATTTTAATGTACAATCTTTCTGAAAACTCTACAAATTTCCCACTAAAGTACTCTACTGAACAAAATCACTCTCGTGATTCTTTCTTACTTGATCACAATCTTGGGCGTGGTGATCCAACTCTCAATCTGATTTGTTGCTATAAATTTTATTTTAAACCTGTGGTCTTTCCATTTCTTTATCAAATTCTATAATTCTAACTTTCATATATTGAAAGCAAATGATTCTCAAAATTCAACTAAAAGTACTGTTGGGTTTGGCTTTGATCTACACCTCTTTCATTCACCATTTTTATTACTGTTATTCATTGGTCCATGGTGCTTTCACATTTCTGAGGTACATGTTTCTTGCGATAATATTTATTCGCTGTGGGAAGCAGTGGGCTTTCTGCTTATTACTTGCCATGTAAACAGTGTGCAAAAGGCTTTGAAAGTATATAAACCAACAGTTACATTTGAAGTGAAATGGGTGTATGTTTTAGAAAAAGCAAACAAAGCAGATAGATATAGTATACTTTTTATGAGGGTTCTACTATACATTGCTCAATATTGAAGTAAGGTTCTCTCCATTATGTTATTTTGCTTTATCCTATTTACATTCCTCACTTTCTTCTTTCCCCTTCATTATAAAATATGTAACTGAATAATACTGGCCATAAGTAGGTCCACTGGAACTCTGATGTCAAAGAATTACAAAGCTTTAGGTTGTAGCTGGTTTATGCTTTGACAAGATACAAGTAAAAGTCATATATTTGGAAGAAGGTAGAGCATTAGTAAGGTAGTCAAGGAATCATGGAAAAAGCCTGTAATCTAAAGTGGGTCATACCAGACTATTGTTCTTTTAGTAAAAGCAGATAATAATGCTATTGTTATTATAGTTAAGACAAGAAACTTCAGAATTATCATTCACTTCCTAAATGTAATGTTTCCCCAGACAGCCATAAGAGAACCCTGCCTATAGATAAATTTTGCCAATCATTACTTCATATTTTGGAAATGCTATATAATATATTTATAAAACAGTATAATGTGATAAACATCACTGTTAAATAAACCCATAACTGAATGACTGCACCCAGAAGTGCTTATTAATTGCTCCACTTCAGCTTGGAAATATTTGTATGGCACTGTCTTGAGCCCTGTCATGATCAACACTTTCAATAGTGACTTGGATGAGGTTGCTGAGGAGACTCTTTAGAAAATTTGATGATGACACAAAGCGATGAGAAGCAGCTAATGCTTTAGATATAAGTGAGAACATTAAAAAAGGTCTAGAAAGAATTGAGCATTTTGCTGAAATGAGTAGATGGAATTTAACAGAAATTTTAAAAACTCCAATTTAAGTAGGAAAAATGCAAGGTATATTTGTATAAGCAGTCAGTTAGTGGAACAGGCTATTACATGAAGACCTTCGCCAGAGGTCTTCAACTAGAAAGTAAATAGTTATCTGTCACATCTTGCATTTGGCAGAGGGTTGTACTAGATTATTCCCAAAGTCCCTAACAATTATGATTCTGTGCTTCTGTACCTAATAATTTTTATTAAGATATATAAACAAGCTAAGAGTTGTTACTCAAAAATACCATATAATTTAATGTATCATCTGACCTCCGTATACGGTCTATAACATCCCTTTAATTATTTTAATATTTTTAAGTTTATAAATAGGTCACATATTCCATTTGAATTTTCAATCTTCTGTGAAGGATGTCTGCTTAAAGTAAAAAGCTCTTTGCACATAATACAAAATCGCTATGCAGCTTCTCTCTTCATCTCATTAACACTCATGTTGCTATCCTTAAACGAATGTATGGCAAACCGTGCTTCTGCAAAATTAAGCTCCTTCCATTAGATTGTTGGGATTACTTTAGAAGACTGGCACTCCTCAATCTGGGAATAAAATGTGAGCAACTATAACTAATACTAATGTGGATGAGCTTCTATGTTTAAATAAACTTTTCAACATAAAAAAGATAATATCCACAGAGCCTCGGTGGTGCAGTGGTTAGAGTGCAGTACTGCAGGCTACCTCTGCTGACAGCCGTCTGTCTGCAATTTGGCAAATCAAATCTCACCAGGCTCAAGGTTGACTCAGCCTTCCATCCTTCCGAGGTGGGTAAAATGAGGACCCAAAATTGTTGGGAGCAATATGCTGACTTTGTAAACTGCTTAGAGAGGGCTGTAAAGCACTATAAAGCAGTATATTAAGTGCTATTGCTATTCTGACAATAAGCTCAAAATTGGGCATGAAGCAAAGTTAATTTCTAACCACCATATTAATATTCTGAGTAGATTCCTGGTGTTTCCCTAGAAGTTTACCTCATTAAATTCAATTTCACACTTAATTCACTTAATTCATAATCTCACTAAATTCAGTTGGGATTTCTTAGAAATACCCATGCATTAAGTTCTCTTTAACTAATTGTTGGGCACCAGTCTGATATTAAATACAGCTTTATACTACTGAAATCTATAAAACATTTAAGTTCAATAACTGAATAAAGACTACTACTGGAAGGAGTGTGTGATATGTCTTTTGTGAACAAGGCTTACAAGAAAAACACATGCAGTATTTAAAAACTAAAAAGTGAGAATCTATGAAATGTGGGGAATGGGTTGATATTTCAAATGCAAATGATGTGTTTAATCTTGTGGCCTTTGGGGAAGATTTATTGGTAGTGTAAAGGGTTTGCTGTTTTTGCAATTGTGTTTGTTCATACTAGAGCAAAGTATAAAGGTGCAGTGCTGCAAAATGTATACAAAATAGACATTTTAAAAACAGAATTTCTAAATAGGCATTATAGAGTTATAGATTCATTGTGGACTCTGCAGTTGAAAGAATATATTGGAAAGTTGTCATAAGGCTATATTCTCAAATTCTGCACATTCTTAATATCTTATAATATGTTTTCATCTAGTCTTATAAACAGAAAGGCTAAAGCTTATTTTACAATTATTCATGCAGAGGGTCTAGTACAACCCTCTGCTTAAATTTCATTTAAATCATTGGAATTTTGGCAATTTGTATATGCAAGATTTGGCAAGTTTGGATATTTATTTCATTTATATTTGATTTCATTTATATTGTCCATGATGAAAAGTTGTCATGATAGAAATATTTGCCATTATTTTCAGTTTTCAATCATTTTTCCCTTTCTTATAAGGGAGCTGAAAGTGATAGGAGACTAGACCTAAAAGTATAGAGTCAGATCCATTTAAAGCACTGCACCTTTTGAGAAAAAAAATAGTTATTGTTATTTTACTTTCCTTTTACAAAGGCTCAAACTACACTGGATCTACTGGAGCACTTGCAGGTTCACAGGAACCTTATTCAGACTCAAGAGAGAAGAAATTGAAAAGGTAAAATGGAAATAAGTTTGCTTTTAAATGCTGCTTTATTGGTGTGAGATATTAACATATACTCCTGGTTGATGTTTAGGTAATTAAAGGTTTTTAAGGATCTAAAATATTTTTGAACATAGTAATGCATCCAATAAAAATGTTTAGGCCTGGGTAAAGTGTTGGACTAGGACATCAACTTTTAATTCATTTTTTAACTTTAGAAGCTTTCTGGGTAACTTTGGGTAAGTCATTCTATCTCAGTCCAGCCTAAATCATAAAAAGAAGTGTTGAGAGGAAAATAGGTCTTGTACTGTGCAAGAAGCTAAATGTCATATATAAGTCAGTATATGTAATCTTGACATTATGTAGTTCATATGTAGAAATCCAGAAGTAGGGCATTGGAGTCATCTCAAATGTTAACCCACCTTATATACAATATTTTAGATTTCCTAATAGTTACACTACAAATGCTCTAATAGTATGAATAATGTAATGATGAAAAATTGTTATTTAATTATATGTCAATTTTTAATGTTTAGTAATTAATCTAGCTGATTTTTTTAAAGGATGTGAATGTTGTAGACCAAGCCTAATTAGAAAAACAGAATAGCTGCGTTTATAATGTATTTTTATAACATTGAATATTTTTTATATTTCCTGCAGTCAAGATACAGATATACCTGGTGCACCAGAGAACTTGACTTTCCGGGAGCGACAAAGACTCTTTTCCCAGGGTCAAGATGTGTCTAACAAAGTAAAGGCATCTAGGAAATTAACAGAATTGGAAAATGAATTAAATACAAAGTAGGATAACTGTCACCTTATCAAATAATCAGAAAATCTCTATGGAACTAGAGTTGGGGCAGTTCAAGGAGGAGCATCTCATATCAAATGAGATATTTTTTCCGTCTGGACTATTTCTTTCTAAACTATATGTTGCAATAGCAAGAAAATCAATTATTTGCCAAGTGCTTGTGGTTTATACAATTGAGGCACTGTAAAATATATTTTAATTAAATAAATCAAGTGTCATGTCCTTTTCCACATCATTGTCCTTTAGCTGCTTTTGGAACTGTCTGGAATTGTTGCTTCCTAGTCTTTTACAAAACATGTAAACATCTGTTAAGCAGAAAGAGTGGCTGTAGCTTGAACTGCCTAACTACCACGGCTTGTTGCACTGTAGATCTGATACAAGTGTAAGGTAATATAAAATTTTAAGAGATCTTGGGAGCTAGTCTTTCAGATTAGTATCATAATAGTGAACACTAGTATTAGGAGTCCAATTTCTATAAACCTTTGCTATAAACACACTTGATTATTAGAAGTAAAAGGGCTCCATTATCATGTCCATACTAAGCCACATAGATCATTCTATGTACATCTAGATTTTGGACATTAAATACTTGACTTGTTTTGATGGCAGTCCAGCAATGTAACAAGATATGCATCCTATTTTTCCCACTGTCTTCTCTCTTACACTGAAGTATTAATCACTTCTAAAACTTGAGTTTTGAAGCATTGATAAGAGTTTTAAAATAAGTAATATTGGACACTGGGTCTGGTGGTGCGTGTGCGTGTATGCGTATGTATTGTTTTAAAGCTATTCTGAAATTTCACACTTTAGCAATATGGAATAAACTTCAAGTGGTAGCTCCATTGTAGCCAAGATAAAACCAAAGTTAAATATTCACAAATAGACTAAAGATGTCAATTATCAGTAGCAGGCAATTAAGCACTACACGCAGGGGAAATGTGGTTATTTGTGGCTGCAAAAGGAAAGAAAAATTGCCTTTCAGTAAGAATTTCCTTTGAGGGAACCTGGCAATATTCTGATGGCATGGTCATCAAACATTCGTATAGAAAAGTGCTGGTCAAGGTACCTCTAGTTTGCTATTGTTCTTTTTGTTTATATTGTAGAAGATGTTGGCAGTTCAAGCTATTTTACACACTATGTTGCAGGATTATTTAATTTTTAAATGGTTGAAATCTGTTTCACCCACTGATCTTTCAGCTACATGTATAGCTGATGTTAAGAATAAAGACCTCATCTTAGTTTGTTTTTGCATTGTGTGATGCTTAAAACAATATATTGTGATTCTAAACAAATTTTCTATTTGATAAAAGTCCTTAATTGGGTTTTAGATGATTTTTCTGTATAATATGTTCTCTTATAAATATATATTTAGGGAATTATGCACACTTCCAAATGCAGAGGGTAGACTTTACTGCCTTAGAAATCACTTTTAATAAGAGTTGTATGATAAAAAAAATAAATGCAAGTTAATGATAAAATTGGAGTGTAAATATTTTTTTTACATAGTTCAGGTTTCTTATTTGAAAGTGTTCTTTTAATGTTCACCTGTTAAATATGAAGTAGGAGATTAAATTGGTTGAAAGTGTTAATGAAGGATCGCATGCTTGTTATGTCTGTTATTCAGGGAAAAAGGAGGTGTCCCCCAATTTATCTTAAGAACACTAGATATTCTGTGGCTGGAATACTATTGCTGCTAGAATTTAAGAAAAGAAATATTACTTACTGTGGAGTGGATTTGAACACTATTCGGCAGGGGCAGGCAACTTTACAACCCGTGGATTTCAACTCCCAGAATTCCTGAGCCAGGAATTCTGGGAGTTGAAGTCTACAGGTCATAAAGCTGCCATAGTTGTCCACCCCTGCTTATTGGGCATTCAAGCCATGTGAATATGAATAAAAATGCTTTTCATAAGTTGGTGCATTATGGAGAAAACAACATAAGAACTGCTGTGGTTTCCCATTTCTACTGTATTTCACTTGCAACCTATTTTTAATAAACTTTGTATTGTATTTAACTTTGCACTGTATAATGTCTGATCAGGAGTATTTGTTCATATTATCCAGACATATTTTCTGTTGCAATATTAACACTTGCTAGGAATTATAATCTGGGAGAATTAAACCCGTTTAATTCAAGCTATTGATTATTATATGAAAAATTAAAATGACATCTATTTTTATAGCTAAAGGTTTTATGAAATATTTGATTTCCAATGCATACAGTCTCTATTAGAAGTTCAGAGTTTCTTTACCCAGATCTTCTTCCATCTAGACAAAAAATATGGCCAAGTATAAAAGAAGTAAATCACAATAAAGTCTTATTAAAGTTAAATTACAACTAACAATTAATTTAAAGACCTGTAAGGCAATCCAAAGAATGTACTTCACATGTAGTATTCTATATAATGTACTGAACGTGAATAACTAACGAAGTTTTAGTAGTTCAAATATAGCTGTTTCACAACATTTAATAGTTACTGGCAATAAATTAAAATTAAAAACAAAAAACCCAATACTTACATTTAACAATCAGCAATATAATATATGAGTGCATATTTTAAATCATGCTTAATTTCTGAGAAGGTGGAAAAAAGCTGCTTCACTTTCCAGAATTTTTGTCTGAATGCTTCTGAAGGATAGCTCTCCTTACAGTAATTAATATCTGACACATAAGTTACTACTCTTATCAAACTGAATTTTATAAGCTGGCATTCATGCACAGTGCATTTCTTCAGCATAGGAAAATAGTCTTCATATCTGCTCCTGCTTCTTAAATGGGATTTTCAGTTGTCATGCTTCTGACTGTAATCACTTGTGGTACGACAGAAAATTAAGATAAAATAATGTAAAAAAGAACAGCTGGAAGAGGAAAAGAAATGGAGTTGAACATACTTCATTTAGTACACTTAGTTTAATGCAAGTAAAGAATATCAACTTTTCTTAATTTCTTAAATCAGTAAACCCTGCTATTGTAGATACATATCTTCCTATATATTGTAAAATGTTCGTAATTTTATGCTTATTTTAAAAAGTTCAGAACTTTAACCATTCTGTTTCTAGCTTCAAATATAATGTTTCTTTGAGAGTTACATTTCTGATAGTGATTACTTGCTTCTTTACCACAACCAATATTTTATATACACAATACAAAGCTGCACTCCTTACTAAAGTCGTTACAAACAGCAGGTGCCAAATAATGTCTTCTCATTAAATTTCCCTACTAGATAAATTTTGTGGTTTATATATGCATGTTTGACCAATCTGTGTTCACAGTCATGGAGAAAAACCAACTTGTACTGTAACCTTAAAGTTGTTTGACCTTTTAGTGATTTGCTTATAGGAAACAACAAATCACATATTTTTACTGCTATAAAGTCCTTTGTGATATTACAGAAATTATGCAGAGGTATTTCCCAAGTCAACCCTCTGAGAAAGTGATCCAGTTTTTTGTAACAAAATGCTTGAAATAATCAGCTTCTTCAGGTATGTGAAAGTCTTCTAAGAGCAGCTCTGGCCCTCAAAAAAACTTGCCAAGCAATTTTTAATGTACCAAAGTAGAAAATTATTAAATATATAGAACTACAGTGTGAGTGAGTGTATGTAGGTGTGCGTATGAGTTAAATATGGAGGTTGTTTTGGCCTCATCTGTTTGAGGAAGTTTATCCTCAAAGTACAACCCTTAATGCAAAAACATTTGGGCATCCCACCTGTAGATGTCATTTGTTTATTCATGTCAGAAGCCTCACAATTAAAAAAGGCATACTATATGACATAAAATTTAAAATAACTTCCACCTGTAGAGTATTAATACCTTTCATTGCAATGTAATGGGGTTGGCTGCTGGGGGTTCGCAGGGGCTCGAGAGTCCTAGCTAAGACACTGCGGGGCTCAGAGAGCCCCCAATAACCTCAGAAAGACAAGCAGCAAGGGAAAGCTCTTAATAGGCTTAATTGAACTTCTGGGCGTTCAGCCAAGAGCATTTCACACCTTATAAAAGTGTTACAAGCTAGATAAACAATCCTCAGCGCTTGTGAGGGAGAGCCATTGAGAAAATCAAGTAACATAGCCATTAGCCTCCGAGGGGATTAATTTCCAAATAATAAGAATCACGTAACTCACCAGAAACTCCACTAACACTTCAAGACTCTCACAGTCACTGCTATTAAGCCTGGTTTCACCCTGTCTTTTTTTTAAGTATTAAATGCACAAAACAATAAACAACTTTTTGGTATATATCTTTTTTTAGGTAATTAGGGCAAAGAAGCAACGTTGAGTTGGCCACACCTACCCAGTCACATGACCACCCAGCTATGCCCACCCAGCCAGTCATTAGGGCAGAGAGCCCTTTGCTAAAAAATTTGAAGCCCACCCCTCATTGTAATGGCTATTTCCCATTGCTGTAGAAAATTTTGGAATTTAACAGCATTTATACACATAGATTCATATCCCAAGGACATGAATTATTCAAATCTAACCAAATGCCAAGAGCCTGTCACCATTATTGTGAGTCCTATCTTAATAAGTTTGCAACATGAACAATCTATTTGATCTCTTTCTTCATTGACAAGAGCAGGTCCCTGAGCTACAACCCAAACCATTATGCCCTTAAGTATACAGAGGGAGACCCTGTGTTTCATAGTAAGAATTTCCAATCTTTTTCAGCTAGTGGGCATCTTTAGAATTTTAAGAGGGTTCAGGGATATTAGGAAACTTAGAGAAGCAAATATAAATTATCACTTCTATACAGATAATTTCAATGAGTTAGCATCTCTTTAATATTAAAAACTTCAATACTATCAAGAATGCATTCTTGCTTCGTACCGTAAGGTTGAGTTTGATAAAGTACCTACTTATCCTGCAAATCAGAAATACAGCACTGGCTGTTGAATGTGTTCATTGTGTTGCAACTTTCCACCACTATGTATCAGTTTCTTGTGCACCTCCCTCACACTTGTGGCTTCCAGAATCTCGAGAGGGGCCACTATGAAAATTTGGGGGGAATTGCCAAGATGGAGAAATGAGATGGCTCCAATCAAGACAAGATCTATAGCGGACTTAGAAATAGATCTTAAAACTGCCTTTAACTTCCTATTCACTTATAATTTTGCTCTCTTGTGCCAGCTTGAAGGGGAGGTTAAACTCAAAACCAAGTATTTTTTTTTTACCTTGTTCTCCTAGTGCTGGGAAAATGGATGGGCAGAGTTGATTCTTAGATTTCAAATAATTGTTTTCCTCCGGAGGAGAGAGTGTGTATGCGTGTGTGTGTGGGGGGGGAGTATAAGCTTAGAGCTGCAGATTTCTTCCAGGAGAGTAGTTGACCCATCGTGAATAAAAACAAGCGCTGCCATGTCCTGCTGCCTGCTGCAGATAATAAAGAATGTGGGAATGCTGGAGTTCCCCCCCCCCCTTTTTTTTTTTTTTTTTACCAAGCTCTGCTTGCAACATCAGTGGGACTCCTCTGTTTCCGATAGCTGGAGAAAGATACATATCGGATATTAATACAGTTGAGAAAGTCCAGAAATATTTCACAAGAAGAGTTCTCCACTCTTCTACTCCTAGTACAAACTACCATATGCCACCAGACTTGAAATTTTAGACCTAGACAACTTAGAACTACGCCGCTTTCGGTCCGATCTAAGTGTAGTACATAAAATTATCTACTGCAATGTCCTACCTGCCAATGAATACTTCAGCTTCAGTCATAACAATACAAGAGCACACAATAAATACAAACTCAAGGTAAACCACACCAAACTTGATTGCAGGAAATACGACTTCAGCAACAGAGTGCTCAATGTCTGGAATACTCTACCTGACTGGCTTCTTCCCCAAACCCCAAAAACTTTAACCTTAGACTGTCTACTATTGACCTCACCCCTTTCCTAAGAGGTCTGTAGGGGGCGTGCATAAGCATACCAATCGTGCCTACCGTCCCTGTCCTATTGTTTCTTTTTTATTCGTATCCATTTCATGTATTCATAACCATGTTATACCTGTTGTCTAATGCTTGCTTGACAAATAAATAAAAAGAAATTTAAAAAAAGAAAAGAAAAACAGCCAGGGAATATTAGGGTATTATTAGCTATTTTTGGGAATATTAGCTATTTTCTAAAGCGCCTGTGCGCCAGACAAGGAATAATGGATGGAAACTGAACAAGGAGAGATTTAACCTGGAAATAAGGAGAAACTTTCTGACAGTGAGAACAATTAACCAATGGAACACCTTGCCCTCGGAAGTTGTGGGAGCGCCATCACTGGAGACCTTCAAGAAGAGATTGGACTGCCATTTGTCAGAAATGATGGGTCTCCCACTTGGGCAGGGGGTTGGACTAGATGACCTATAAGCTCCCTTCCAACTCTGATTATCTGGGTACATCAGACCTGTTTATTTTATATCTCTCTCCTGTTTTCTCACAGTATTCAGCAACTTCTCCTTTAAGCACGAGGGAAACAAGCCTCATATGAAAAATGTTCCTTATCTACTTGAAAGCGAACCTTGCATCCTCTCTCGGGCATTTGGAGGAGTTCCTTCAAGGCTGGTGGTGCTCCCACCGAGTCTTCCAAGCAAAAAGCTTCCCGAATCACTAGCGCTCCCCCCCAAAAAAAGGCACGCGCGGGGCTTTGCAAAGCGATCGCTTCCGAAGTTCCGCGCGTGCCGGCGCGCTGCTCTGCAGAAAGCCGGACGGGTAGCTATAGCAACCTTCCCCCCCCCCCAAGCTTACTCTTGGCTTGTGATTGGATGGGTCAAACGGCTTTCCTTTGAAAGTGGAAGAAAGGATCCCGAGAAGTGCTCCCTCGGCTTTTGATAATCTGGGATGGGCCGGCTCCAAACGACGAAGCCCGGCAGCGGAGTTAGCCCCAGTTTTGTGTCGGAGCAACAGATTCGGCAGCTGCAACGGAAACTGCGAGTGAGTGTTGAGATGGTGTAAATCGGTGTCACCATTGGCAGCAAATCTACCCATCTAGGACTCAGGGGTCTCCAGCCTTGGCAACTTTAGGACTTTGTGGACTCCAA